AACCCCTAACCTAGAGACGCGTTTTAAGGGTAGCGAGGGGTGAGGCTCCCTAAAACCCAAAAACCGTAGACCCTAAACCCTAAGCCCTAAGCCCTAAGCCCTAAGCCCTAAGCCCTAAACCCTAAACCCTAAACCCAAACTCGAAGAGGCTCAAAAAGCGAGACCAGGGCCCGAGCTCTCCAGGTGGGATTCATGATGGCGAACTTGAGCATCCTCTGGACGATGCGCTCGGGCACCGGACCTTCGGGTTTGGGGTTTCGGGTTTCGGGTTTAGGCTTTTAAGGTGCTAGGTGGCCAGTAACCTAGGACGAAAAAGGGCGCCCTCTTTTGCTTCAAGGGAGTTGATAAGGGAACCTAAGCCCTAAACCCTAAACCCTAAACCCTAAACCCCCCAACAAGGCAATAAGGGCACTACTACTGGGCATCAAAGGGGGTAGGAGATCGAAACCACGAGGGCAAGAGTGGCGACTTCGGTGCCATGTCTCAACCCCAAGGCCAATGACCAAGACCTCCACCAAAACTATACAAAAAAAAAGAAAAGAGAGAGAGAAAGAAAAAAAAAAAACAACAACCAAGGAAAAGGCCTACTCCGAGCGACTTGGGGTGGAGGGTTTAAGGTTCTCAGGAGTTGAAGGTTTTGGGCTGGGGTTGGGAGGGTGGCGGGCGGTACTGAGGTCTTATGGCATGAATTTGGAACTAGGGGTTTGGTTAATTGAGGGATAAAAAGCCCGAAACCCTCGAAAGGTTCAGGCCTCGAAAGGGGTTTAGGGTTGAGTGTTCGGGTTTCGGGTTTCGGGTTTCGGGTTTCGGGTTTCGGGTTTAGGGTTTAGGGTTTGGGGTTTGGGGTTTATAGGGTTTAGGGTTTAGGGTTTCGGGTTTGGGGTTTGGGGAGGCAGTGTATCTGCACGAGGGTTGATCTTCAGTATCTATGGCAGCGTGGGAAGGATTCAAACGTAGACCCTCACAAGCCCCAAACCCCTAACTTCCTAAACCCCATGTAAGCCCTAAACCCCTATACGCACATTTTCCGCAGCTCGGGCTGGGGCTACAGAACCAGAGGAAGTGCAGTATCTTGGGCACGGCCTTCTCACACGACCTGCGCTGGTTTTCCCGAATGAAGTTCGTATGAGGGCTTGGAATAGATTTAGGATTTTGTTCAGATTCGCGGTGGCTACAATTGGCTACCATTGGCAGAAGGGCTCACGGTACTAGTTCACAAGGGAAAGGTCAAAAGTGTTCCACAATGACCCCACACTTTCTCATGCCCTTATAAACCCTAAACCCTAAACCCTGAAAGCCTAAACCCTAAACCCTAAAACCCTAAACCCTAAACCCCTGTAGATACTAGAAATTGTAATCTCAAGTTCCTCTGCCTGGCCGGCAGGGCGGTGGCAGGGTCCTGGCGTGAATTTAGGGATTAGGGTCTAGGGTCTAGGATTTAGGGTTTAGGGTTTACGGTTTAGAGTTTAGGGCCTTAGCCTGCACAGGCGACCCCGGTCCGTGGCTCCCAAGAGCAGAACCCCAAATTCCTAGACCCTACTTGAAGGTTCATTGGTAGATATAAGTAGGGCTGTGGGTACTCTGAATAAAGTTATAACCAGTTGTAATTATTGTTACCTTACTTATACCCACTAATAGCTACCCATGAGCCCCTAAGCAAGCCCTACAGTAAGTTTAGGGCTCGGCGATAACCCTAAAACTTAAACTCAACCCGAGGTCTGCAACTGTCACAAGGCAGCTCTGCACCCGCTCCACTACAATCTGCTATTCATGGCACGATTTAGGGTTTAGGGTTTAGGGTTTAGGGTTTAGGGTTTAGGGTGTCAGAGCTTGGGATTGGGAGGAGTTGAGCAAGGAGGGATGCGCTTTAGGGGGTATCGGGCTGTTCAAGACGGAAGCATGCTGAATCCCAGGCACACATGCTTACCTGAAGACCCCAAACGCCTTCCTTTTGTAGGCTACCTACGAACCGTATACAGGGCTTGGCATCAATAACGCGCACACCAAAGTGAGTTTCAAGCAAATTGAAGCTGAGTGTGGCTTGAAACCCTAAACCCTAAACCCTAAACCCTAAACCCTAAACCCTAAACCCAAAAAACCAAAGCTGGCTGAGTTCCGGTCCAGCAGTCCGCCATGCGGGTGGCCGACCTCAACGGCTGGAATGGTGGCTGACCGAATCTACTAGTTGCTTGAGAACCCCAAAAGAAAAAACATGGGTTTAGGGTTTAGGGTTTAGGGTTTAGGGTTTAGGGTTTAGGGTTTAGGGTCTAGGGTTTAGGGTTTAGGGTGCTACTATTTGCTTAAGAACCCCAAAAGAAGAAAAAAAGTAATCCCTATATTACCCTTAAGAAGGAAGATGTTTTGTTGTTTTTTCGGGGTTCTTAAGCAATCAGTAGGAATTTGGGGCTCTTTAGAAGGTGTGGAAAGCTTCTGTCGCCGCATATTCCTTATTATAGTTCAGCATCCACCCCCCCCCCCCCCCCCATTACTTCCCCATTTTTTACGTCGACCCCCCACGCTACCGTTTAAGGTTACAGGTTTAGGGTTAATATTTTGGGCTGGCGGTGATGTGGGGGCGGGGAAGAAGCTAGACCCAAGAATAACCCAGGAATAAAAAGGGCGCCCTTTGATTAAAAGGGCTTCCCAGGGAACCCCTAAAAAGGGAATAAGGGCTTACTCTGGGTCCTAGCAAGTGCATTGAGGGACAGGGAGGGCAAGCCAGAAAAAGCACATGCTGATGCTTTAGGGTTTGGTCCACTCAGCTTCCCGCAGCCAGGTCAGGAGAAGCAAAGGCAAGCGGGACATGTAGATACTTTCTGAGGCAAACCCGAAGGGTCCATGTACCTGAATAGGGAACACTTGGGCCTTAAAGTACATCCTATTTAGGGACCTTACGGCTCAAGTACAAAATAATAATGTACCCGGACCGTTAGGGGGAAAAGTCGGGTGTTCGTGAATTTCGGCCCAAGCCCTGGACCCCAAAGCCTTTAAGCGTTTGTTCGTACTAACATATGCACACCCGTAGAGAAAGCCGGCATGTCGAGCCGAGTCCGCAGGGTTTAGGGTTTGGGGTTTAGGGTTCAGGGTCTAAGGTAAACCATACATGTCCCTAACAGAATCCCAGATTGGCCAAGTAAGATGAATGTGGGTAGTTCTCGAACTTTGGGACACAGCATTCGGGTCCAGGGTTGAGGGTTTACTGCTTCCTCGTTGGGGTCATATTAAAACTTATCATGTTTATTCCTTATTGTGAGTTTAATAGGACAAACATGTAAAATTGTAACCAACAGGGACCCAGTTTAGGGTTTAGGGTTTGGGGGGTTCTCTCAGCCAGGTACTGCAATGGCTCGCTTCAGCATCAGCGAGGTCGGGGTGGCGATGGGCCTCCCTGCACGTGGCTGAGGGGTTCGACAGTCTGCAGCAGCTTTGGGTTTTGATTAGAGCTGCTATAAACTAGGGATTTGGGGTTTAGGGTTTAGGGTTTGCGGGCGCCCTGAAAAAGCTCCATAGTTCAATAGGAACCCAAACAAGGGAGCTGAGTTTAGCCTAAGGTTGCGCCTGAAAAACTCCTTGACTGTCAGGAGCTCCGCGTGCACTCAGCTTGCAACTATATAGGCAGCAGTTCTTGGGGTCTCAGGTCCCTAAACCCTGCACCTACGCCGAACCCTAAACCCTAAACCCTAAACCTTAAACCATAAACACGTCAACATCCCCAAGCCCTCTCGGGCCGTTGGGAGCGTAAACGTTGTAAACGCTCCAAACGCCTAGAAGCAAAACAAGAAGAGCAAAAGGGTACCACTGGGCTACTATAGGGGCCGGAATAATTACTAACAGTATTCCCTTCTGGTCCCTTATACTATCACATCCCCCAAAACCCTGTTCTAATAATTCCGACCCCTAAACCCTAAACCCTAAACCCTGAACCCTAAACCCTATATTACCCGGCTGTCTAGTGCGTAGGGCTCTTGGAGTGATGCCCTACAACCTGAACCTCCAGACGGAAAGCAGAGACCACGGTACACTCCCTACCAAAGCCCGAGAGCCAGAGACCCTAAACCCTAAACCCTAAACCCTAAACCCTGAACCCTGAACCCTGAGCCCTGAGCCCTGAACCCTGAACCTGAACCCTGAACCATGAAGTCCAAATTTGTTGGCGAGGGAGGCCTATTCGATCGACCTGCCACTCATCCTGGGCCCAAGGTTCTCGAGGAACCTACCTACTTGGAGGTTCATGGGTAGTTAGCAGGTTTACACTGGTGCTCCTGGGAAAGGACCTAGAAATCGGGCCGCAGGTTTGGGGACAGAAGACGCCTTATTCCGCCAGAAGCCTCTAACTCCAGAAATTGGCGGGTGAAATACCGCCACTGGAGTTTCTGGGGTTTAGGGTGGCCTGGGGGCAGGCGTGCTTGAGTGTGGGAGAAGATGAGGGCGCTACTGCTCTTATTGGACCATTACGAAAGCAACGAAGAGCAAAAACACCCTTGATGGCTCACGTGCCCTAGGCCCCTAAACCCTAACCCCAAGCCCTAAACCCTAAACCCTCCTAAGACCCAAACCCTTTCAAGGCGAGCCTTCTCCGTACACTTCGCCGGCGTCTTGTGGCCGGCGACCCTGCGCAAGACTTTTGGGCCTAGCGCGGGGTTTAGGGTTTAGGTTTTAGGATTAGGGTTTAGGGTTAAGGTTTTGGGGCACTTGGGGGGGGAGGGGATTTTGAGGGTGTAGGCCTAAGGCCTCCTCAACTCCCCACATCCTGAAGAACCCGACCGCTGCAGCAGGCAAGGTCCTCTCGGGCATGTTCAGGAAGGTGACCTCTGGGCATCCGAAAACCCTAAACCCTAAACCCTGAACCCTAAACCGTAAACCCTGAACCCTAAACCCTAAACCCTACACCCTAGACACAGCGAGTAGGGCTGGGTCCTCGTGCTTTATGGGACTCGGTAAGCCACGGCAAACTTAGGGTGTGTCCGGCTTGCGGCAAGCAAGTTGAAACTGTACTTTCCCTACAACCTGCCATCAAGGCTGGTGTTTTTAACCGGGGGAACCAGCATGCTGTCTTCGAGGCTAGGTCAAAGACTTTTTAGCTCAGGGCTTGTCGGGTTTTGCCTCGGTGTGCCGAAGGTTTAGGTCTTTGCGGCCTCCATAAGGCAAGATGGGCGGCTTCCCTGCATGCTGTCGGCTTGAAGACGGCGGAGACTGCTGTCATCACAAAAAAGATTGCAAACCCTAAGGCCCTAAACCCAATGCTTTCTTCTACAGGAGCTTCTGCGGATTTACTGGGGCTTTAAAAGGCTTAAATACCCCATATATACCCTACAAAACCCAAACCATGCAACTACCCCTAGAAAGGGTCATATAGGGGTCGGAAAAATTATTAAGAGTAATGCCTTATGGTCCCTTTTAGAATTATACTGTAATAACATCCCAAAATCCTATTCAAATTCTCTTAAGGCCCCCAAACTTCGGGTCGCAATTCGGCGGGGGATTTCAGCCCAACGTGTTGATCCACAAATGCCTTGAAAACGCTGAGACTCTGACACTCATAGTACCCTAAACCCTAAACCCTAAACCCTAAACCCTAAACCCTAAACCCTAAACCCTAAACCCTAAACCCTAAACCCTAAACCCTAAACCCTAAACCCTAAACTTTACTGCTTCGGGGGGGGGGGGGGGGGGGGTTAGAAAGGGTCTACCACCACAGAAGGCCTCCAGGCTCTTCAGGCTCGTGCGACTCCTGCCAGGCATAGAACCCTCAACCCTAAACCCTAAACCCTAAACCCTAAACCCTAAACCCTAAACCCTGAACGCACTCCTGACCACAGGCGGCGGCCGTGGGAAAGCGTCGTAGACGCACCTGAGGACGGACTCCCTACTTCGGAGTAGACCCTGGAAAATCAAAATACTTTTTAAGTATCAGTAGCTATAATAGGACCCAGAACCAAATGCAAGTATTCAAGTATGGTACTCCAACACCCAGGGAGTGACTAGAGGCAGCGCCCGTTGAGCAGAAGCCGTGTTGTTTCTGGAGACAAAGATCCACAAAGACCAAAGGCATCGACATGTAAGACACGAGGACACAAGGGGGCACCCTAAACCCTAAACCCTAAACCCTAAACCCTATGGGAAGCTGAGGCACCAAAGAGTGCACACGAGCAGCTGGTAAGGCACACAACCAGCAACATCCGAACCAAAACTGAAGTTCGCGAACCCCCCCCCCCCCCCCCAGATTCGGCTTTAGGGTGTATAGGGTTTAGGAACCCCAGCAGACATTGTTCGAACCACAAAACCGAGTCATTTCAGCGCTGTATTGACGTTTGTATACTGCTGCTGGGGCTGGCGCTTGTCCTCCCAGTCCGGGGCATCGAGCAGAATGTGCTCCAGCCCTGGTTGAAAGCTTGCGCCTGGGGCAGGGATGAGGGGTTCAGGAGTTCTTGCTTCTTTTCAGTGACGATGGCGGCCCCTAGTAGCACTACAGCCACTAGAGCCCAAATCCTATAAATACCCGAACCCCAATTCGGGCCCCCAAGCCCTGAACACTAAAGCCACCCGCCCTGAAGCATCCTGGAGCTGTTTAGAGACGCGCGCGCGCGCGCCTTCACCCTAAGGCTCTCAAGACTCCATCAAGCCCGCCTTCAAAAGGGCCACCCACAAAACAACCTACAACTTACGAGTGACCTGGATCATCCGGCTCGGCTTTAAGCTTCCTGCAAGCTCGCGCTCGTGGCCAGAGGCGCGCGAGGTCTTCGTCTCGGGTTATTTGGGTAGCTCTGCAAGCAGCTCGCCATCATCGGCTGCCTCCTGCTGCAGCTGCCTCCTCCATGCTTAGGGTTTCGGGCTTAGGGGGGTTTTAGAGGGGTTTAGGGGGGTTTAGGGCTTCTTGTAAAGGGCTGACTACACTCCCGCCCGTGCCCGCCAGACTGCGCACCTACAGGGGGTCAAATGCCTCGAAGCCCTGCAACAGCCTCAAAACTCACCTAGACCTCCCGAATTCCCAAGCCCGGTCTTTGTAGACGCCCCCCCCTTAAACCCTAAACCCTAAACCCTAAACCCTCTCCAGACAGGTGCCCAGCCTGGCGGAGCCGGGGTCGAAGCGCCGGCGTCCAGCCTGGCCTCCTGGGAGGATTAAGGCTTTGAGGGGGATTTTAGGGTTTAGGGTTTAGGGTTTAGGGCTAGGGTTTATGGAAATTGTATAGGGTTTGGGTCCCAAAAACGTTTTGAGCGAAACGTTTCTTCTTCAGATATTAGGTTAGGGGGCCCGGGGAAAGGGGGGGGGGGGGGGGGGCAGTAAGTTTTGAGCGAAAGTTTCAACGAATGTTTCTGTTTTAGAGCCTAATGGATATTTTTTGGCCTTCCGGCCCTGGTTGGCCTTCTGGGTTTTTTTGGGTGGCAGGCCCGAGGGATTTAAGTAAATTGAGCATTGGCCTCCCAGGTGCTGTGATTGAATGCACTAAAACTCTGCTCGTCAGCTGTTTAGACAAACAACCTGGGAAAATTCAGAATGATACCACATACAATTTCTATTTATTTTGTCTTGAGGGTTTGGGTTTAGGGTTTAGGGTTTAGGGTTTAGGGTTTAGGGTTTAGGGTTTAGGGTTTAGGGTTTAGGGTTTAGGGTTTAGGGTTTAGGGTTTAGGGTTTAGGGTTTAGGGTTTAGGTTTTATGGTTTAGGGTTTAGGGTTTAGGGTTTAGGGTTTAGGGTTTAGGGTTTAGGGTTTAGGGTTTAGGGTTTAGGGTTTAGGGTTTAGGGTTTAGGGTTTCGGAAAGAAAGGATGTCCTGCGGCTGGGCTGTCGAGGCGTCAGGGACCTGCCGGGCATGACCTGGAGCGTTTGGCAGCTCTTGGCTTACCCGATCAGCCCCGATAGGTTTGGGGTTTAGTTTTGGGTTTAGGGTTTAGGGTTTAGGGTTTAGGGTTTAGGGTTTAGGGTTTAGGGTTTAGGGTTTAGGGTTTAGGGTTTAGGGTTTGGGGTTTAGGGTTTAGGGTTTAGGGTTTAGTAAGTTTAGGGTCTAGGGTTTAAGCCCCGAAAACACAAAATCCTGCAGAGCCTAAATCCCTGAAGGCCCTGTGAAAAGAACAAAGCCCTTTTGCTGGCATGGCTTTAGCCTTAGATGTGCTGATGCAATGGGAACTTCACACTACGAGCCGGAAACGACCCCCAACCGCATCAGCCCTTGCTTAATAGTTACAACAGGGTTTTTGGGGTAACTATCCTGTACTTACATAGGGACCATAGAGGAATATCGCTAGTAATAATTCCGACCCCTACACTATTATAGACCCCAAATTTTGGGTAGGGTTGAGGGCTTAAGGTTGAGGGACCCCCCAAAAGGGGCCCTTAGGGCCTAAAGGGTTTGACGTATGAGGCTGAGGGCTCCGTACTCCTCTTGGAACCTAAACCCTGTAGAGCCTAAACCCTATAGACCCTAAACCCTAAACCCTAAACCCTAAACCCTAAACCCTAAACCCTAAACCCTAAACCCTAAACCCTAAACCCTAAACCCTTACCCGGGCCTGCTCTCCACTTCGAGCTCTGGTAGGCCGTGAAGGCAGTAACAATGAAAGCCTGGGGCGGCCGAAGGATCCCTGGAAACAAACCCGGCGCCCGCAACGTCCCCACTGTTGCTACTTGGAGGTTCATGGGTAAGGGTTTAGGGTTTAGGGTTTAGGGTTTAGGGTTTAGGGTTTAGGGTTTAGGGTTTAGGGTTTAGGGTTTAGGGTTTAGGGTTTAGGGTTTAGGGTTTAGGGTTTAGAATTTAGGGTTAGGGTTTAGGGTTTAGGGTTTAGGGTAGTTTTAAGTAGGGCTTTAAGTAGGGTAGCTATGCTTATCGCCTTACTTAGGGTACTTGTAACCCTAATTACAACTACCAATGAACCTCCAAGCAGGGTTTAGGGTTTCGGGCTTACAGGGCTTAGTGATTTTAGGATTGTGGAGGGAGCGGGGAGCACCCCTAAAGGCGTTCATCCTACTTGCTCGGTCCGGGCCAGAAGCTGGAAAGCGAATTGTGATTGCATTCCACAGGGTTCAGGGTTTCAGGTTTAGGGTTTGCAACAATCAGGAACTGGGGGCTTACATGAAGTTGCATGGTATGTATACGAAGGGTCATGACTAGGTGAGCGTAAAAGTAGGTTGAGGCAGGTGTGCCCCAGGATGGTTGGGGGGGGGGGGGGGGGGGGGGGAACCTCACAATCACCCAAAGTGCAACCCTACAAACCAAAACGCTTAAGAAGCTTCAAGGCGCTTAAAAACCCCAAGGCCCTAAGCCTCTGACAAGGCCTGTGCCAAATACTCAGTGCCAGGGACCAGGATTTGGGTTCAGGACACAGGCTTTCGGGTTTCGGGGTTTATTGCTTAGGGAGGCCAATGGGGATGTAGGTGCTTAAAGTGTTCAAGACGTGGGGCGCGCCGTACTTTAGCAAGGCTACGGGTTTCGATTAAGAGCCTGTGGCTGGGGACTCGAACCCTAGACCCTAAAGCCTGGAGAGTTGTAGAACTTGTGGCTCTGTTGAGGACCGAAGTCTGCATGATTCTTTGGGACCTTTGGGGACCTTCAGACTTTAGGGTTTAGGGTTTAGGGTTTAGGGACCTTCACTCTTCGTCCCTCCTCACGGGTGGTGGCCAGGGTGCGGGTACGAGGCATGGCAGAAGGATGGTCCAGAAGCCATGCTGCCGCTTGGGCATGGAGTTTGGGGTTTAGGGTTTAGGGTTTAGGGTTTAGGGTTTAGGATTCAGGGTGCGCGGCTGAACCGCTGCAGGTGCTCTGGTTGGTGTTTTGTTGAGGTGGGGTGTCAGGTCTCTGGGGGGACCTCTGCTCAGAAGGCCCCATGGAAGAGTCGGGGTGTGTGGGCCGCACCCCAAACCCTAGACTCTAGACGCTAGACCCGAAACCCTAAACCCTCAAGGTAGAAAGCACGAGTGATTTCTCGACATGGCAGACTCCCCGCCGCCCCGCTCCATCAGCTTGTGAGCGTCACGCGCGTTTTGATTCGAGTCTTCTGTGCACGTGCAAAGACGAGGTTGCGCGGTGGAAGCGCTTGGGGGTCAGGGTTCAATAGGGCTTCTTTGTTGTGGTTATGTTCCTGTCTTTTTGGGAGGGGAAATGGGCTAGGTGCTTTTTCTTTTTGGGGGGATGGGGCGAGGGGGGGTTAACTGGACGATGCCCAAGACCCTTCAGCTCAGGACTCGGCCTTAGATCGCACCTTCACCAGTCAGTTGGTCCCAAATTAAGTAGTGTCTTCCTTGAGGATACGGTCTTGGGCTAGGACCCAGTGATGTCCACACACCCTAAAGCCCTAAAGCCTGAGAGCGCAGGCTTCTGAGAGGGGCCTTTGTGAGCACCAATCTATGAGGAATGCACGGCAATACAGGCGCCCAAATGAGTGTGGAGCAGGATTTAGGGGTTTAGGGTTTAGGGTTTAGGGTGTTTGGCGGGTGTTGAGGGTATAGGGCTTGGGGCGGACTGATCAACACCGAGCCCGAAGTCCTCCCTTCAAACCCTGCCCATGTTTCCCCAAAAAAACACTACAAGATTCTTAAAACCCCTGTCAACGACCTATACACGTCGACTTCACCCCTTAAAGCTCACAAGCTTCCCCAACATCCCCGAAGCCCTAAACCCTAAACCCTCAACCCTAAACCCTAAACCCTGAGCCCCCATCCCATCAGCCCCCGCATGATGTCCTCTTGAGTGCCATGCCCAGAGAGTCGAGGCGCCTCAGCAACCCTGACATACTTGGTTTAGGGTTTAGGGTTTAGGGTTTAGGGTTTAGGGTTTAGGGTTAGGGTTTGGGGTTTGGGGTTTCGGGTTTCAAAGGTTTCGGGGGGTTCGGGGGTTTGGGGGGTTTCGCGAGTTTCGGGGTTTACCGGTACCCTCCGGACGTCGGAGGTGCCCAACCCCCCCCCCCCCCTGCCCCGCACCCCACAGAACCCACACAGGCATGTAAGGCTTCCTAAAGATTCCAGGTTTAGGGTTAGGGTTTAGTGTTTGGGGTTTGGGGGTCATGTCAGACGGAGTTGATAGGGCTACGTCCTTGAGGGCTTAGCATTCGGGACCCCGATTTGCATTCAGAGCTGAGCGTGCGGCAGTGGCGATTGAGCGAAACAGGCTCAAGTATGAGTGTGCTCACTATCACCCAACCCTTAGACCCCTAAAACTCCAAACTCTATGCTAGCAGTCGCAGATCTCTGCAAAGTGTCGATGGCGGAAGCTACCATGTTGCTGGGCTGGTCTACTCAGCTGCCGAATACATTGCGTCATAAGGATGCCAGGTACCTGGTGAGCCAGCCGGAGAGGCGCAGGAGTCACGGCTGAGGGTTTAGGGTTTGGGGTTTAGGGCTTGGGGTTTAGGGTTTAGGGTTTAGGGTTACATGTCTACTTGGAGGTTCATGGGTAACCAAAAGTAGGGCTTATCAGTGGGGGGGTAGCTATACTTGCTATACTTATCGCCCTACTTAGGGCACTTACAAGCCTTCTTATGGCTGCCCACGTCCCTCCAAGTAAGTTATCAGGCGCCTGAACGTTGATATAGGGTTCTTGAGGGAGGGGGGCTTTAAAGGGGAGTACGTAACCCAAGGTCCCCTCATGCTCCCCACTACTCCCCTAGGCTTCCCTACGGCTCCCTAGGTACCTACCCCGCCCCCCATGAACCCCCTCCCTTCAGGACACTATAATCTTGTGGCGCCTCAACGATACACCGAAACGCTCCAGCTGAAGAGACAGGAGATGCCAGCGAGGGTGAACCCGAGAGGTAGGGTATTCAGCATTGCCTTACCCGAGGTCCCGTTGGACACTGTGAGGCTCAGAAATAACCCTGAACCCTAAACCGGACATTGCCACCAGCGCTTGAAGCAAGTAACTGATGTGGCTTGCGGGGTGTCGCAAGTTGTTTTATTCGTATGTTTTCCCTGTGTTGTTATCTATTTATTGATTTTTTTCTGTTTTTTATTTGAACAAGGCATTTTTGTGTGACTATTATTGTTATTGTTATTATTATCATTTTTTATTGTTTATGTGTTTTTCTTTGTTTTTTTTTTTTTTTTTGGGGGGGGGGGGGGGCTGTGGTGTCAGGGGAGGTCGCCAGCGACCATCGTAAGTTGCAACATATCGCTGAACCTGAACTCCCAAAACCATCTGAACGCAGACTTGGCGATAGATGGCATGATGGATAGCTAGACAGGTATAGACGAAAGTCTCGACAGCGGCAGACAGACACACGTACAGATAGATATATAAGCGAAACAAGGATGACAGACGTGTGAGATAACCATACCGTACCTTAGGTACACACACACACACATCCCTAAACTCTGAACCCTGAACCCTGAACACTAAACTCTGAACCCCAAACCCTAAATCCTAAACAGATAGCCTCGGCATCCGAAGAACCTGAAGCCCTGCCCGGGGTTGGGGGTTCCGCAGCACCGCGTCCATGACGTCTTGCAGCTTCTGCAAGTCCTGCACGGCAGGGTTTAGGGTTTAGGGTTAGGGTTTAGGGTTTAGGGTTTAGGGTTTGGGGCTTGGGGCTTAGGGCTTAGGGTTTAGGGTTTAGGGTTTAGGGTTTAGGGTTTAGGGTTTCCTGGACAGCAGGCCGCACACCAAAAAAGAAGCCCGCGGCCGCAAGTTAAGCGGGTTTAGGGGTGTAGGGTAGTTACGACTAGCATTCCCGTATGGTTCCGATATAAGTCTACTATAATAACCCCCCACCCCCCCCCAAACAAAAAAATCTAATGATTAGCCAACCCTAAACCCTAAACCCCAGACGCTATACCCCAAACAAGCTGTACTTACTTCGATCAGCCCCTCGCTTGCATCTGCCCGATGTAAGAGCCCTCTTTAGCGTTTTTTTTCGGGGGTCAAAGCTTAGGGCGTAGGGTTAGGGTTTCGGGTTTCGGGTTTCGGGTTTAGGGTTTAGGGTTTAGGGTTTAGGGTTTAGGGTTTAGGGTTTAGGGTTTAGGGTTTAGGGTTTAGGGTTTAGGGTTTGGGGTCTGTGGTTTAGGGTTTAGGTTTAGGGCTAGGGTGGGCACTACTTGAAGGTTCATGGGCAGTCATAAGTAGGGTTCTGGGTAAGTCGAATACCCGCTTGTAGGGTAAGCCTACTTACGGCTAACCATGAAGCTTCAAGTCGGGGCACCATTGTCCTGGGTACCTCAATGTACCTCAAGAGGGTTCTGTAAACCATTGCAAAACCGATGCAAACTCCGTAGAGCCCTCTGCCTCCTCATCCAGAGCTGTTGTGATCGCCTGCCAGCTGTTTCGGATATGCCGGAGGCCGGGGGGGGGGGGGGGGGGGGCGGGAATTAGGGTGTTTGACCAGGGTTTGAGTTTTGGGTTTGGATAGAGCAGTTCCTTTGCAGGCGTGCTTTCGGTCAGGGTGCAGTTTCATAATGGGCCTAGGAAAATTACCCTTACTGGGGAGGGGAGAGACGCACACAAAGGACCGATTTTGCATACCCAGGCCGTAAACCACGCACTATGATAATGGTTGAGGGCGCCAAAAGAAGCCCACGATTTAGATCGGCCCCTCTACCTTACCCCCCCCCCCCCCTGACCCCAAATCAAAATCAAGCCCCCCGGAACCCCGCAGAAGATGGCCCCTCATAGATCGACACATGGATATATGTAGACAGCGACACAAAAGTATTGTTGTTGTAAACCCTAAACCCTTGCCCCCTGATATTTTGGAGACTCCTGCGAAGCCCGCCTTGATCAAAGGCAGCTGCTTGCTGAGCTTGCTGAAGCGCTCTTGCAAGACACCGACCTGCCCGGGGAGCTCGAGGTTCGGGCATCGGGGTTCAGAGCCTAGGTTAGGGTTTAGAGTTTAGGTTTAGGGTTAAGGAGTTTAAGGGTTTAGGGGGACCCTTTCAGGGAACATTTAACCTTAGACCCATCTGGAAATCTGGGCTCTGGAATAGTTTGGGACCGGACCGGGCCGAAGAAAACAGTCTGGGGGTGGATTCAGAAATAATTCGGGGTTTAGGGTTCAGGGTTTAGGGTTCAGGGTTTAGGGTTTAGGGTCAACGCAAGCGCCCACTGTGCGGTGACCGAGCAGTTGGAGAGAATCCTGCTGTCAGACTAAAGAAGGCCTTGCGAGGTTTGGGGGGGGGGGGGGGGGGGGGGGGGGGGGGGTGGGGGGGTTTAGGGTTTGGAGCTGTGGGCATTTGGGGTTTTAGGTTTAGGGTTTAGGGTTTAGGGTTTGGGGTTTGGGGTTTGGGGTTTGGGGCTTGGGGTTTGGGGTTTGGGGACAATGATCTCTGAAGTGGGCTACTGCAGTCCAGCGCTCAAGCCGGCAAGGTAAAAGTGAAGGGGATCGTGGTGCGCTTGAACATCCCGGACACGAAGCTTGCGGAACGACTGATACTGAACCTCCCTAGGCCAAATCTGAAACGCCAGACTGTGAAAACCTGAAAGCCCCCAAACCCCCAAACCTCCTAAACTTAACCCCAAGGAGAAGTAGCAACTATCACGTCTCGCCTCTGGCAGGCTCTGTAGCTCGAGATCCTTTGCCCGGGCCACGGCCTGCGAATTGGGACCGCAATGGGTGTTCTCTACACGTTTGCGGTTCGGGGCTCGGGAGCAAAGCGGATTTAAGGATCTAGCAGCAGTCCTATCGGCTCGGATTGTGCTCCAAACCCCGCAACCCGCAACCGTCCAAGGCGCCTCCCCAAACCCTAAACCCTCACTAGGCTAAGTTCAAACCCCTATAACAACGTTCTACACCCCAAGCTACAGGCCGAGCCCTCCGAACTGAACCCCTCAAGCCCTGCTAGCCCTTAAGACAAAGCCTATACGCCCTTAACCCTGTACACCCTAAACCCTTATACACCCTAGATTACCCTGGAGCATGCCGCACCAAATCGCCGTCGAGACTTTTCAAGGGGAAAAAGGGCGTTTAGGGGCCTATTTAGAGAGCTTTGTTATTTACATTTGGGAGGGTTCGTTGTTGAGAGATGATCTATTTGCTTAGGCTCCTGTCCTGGCCCCAAGATCGAAAGTTGCACATGCTTGGGTCACTCTCCCCCAAGTCCGTAAATCTGAACCTCAAACTACAGGATTTAGGGTTTAGGGTAGCTAGGAAACCTGAGGATACCTGAAACACCCAACTAGTAAACTTGACTCCTAATCACCTAACGCAACTGAAACTTGAGTCCCAGACCCTCGAAACTTCTTCGACTTGAAGCCCTATCCCCCCAAGCCAATGTACGATGGAACCCTAAACCCTAAACCCTCAACCCCTGCATCACTCAAGCTGCCAAGATCCGGGCCGATTCTATCTCGATGGGGTCGATGCTCTTTGTGATCGCCTGCCCGGGTTTCGGGCATCACGGGTTTAGGGATCGGCTAGGTTTTAGAGTCTAGGGTTTCGCGTTTAGGGTCTAGGGTTTAAGGTTCAGGGTTGAGGGGTAAGGTCTTGGGGCTTAGCGCTTAGGGTTTACGGTCTTTAACCAGGCTTTGGCGTCTTTTACGGGTAATAAGGGTGTACGAGTAGTGTTGGAGTTGTCAGGTCGGAGCTATGTCTGTACCAACGACAACAGAAAACCTAGGTCTCACTGCCAGGTTGTCATTGTAGTTCAACCCCGGATCAGAACCCTAATCCCTTAACCCTAACCCTTAGGCTCAAAATGGCCCAAAAACCTTTATAATAAGGCCTTCGGGCCCAAAAACCTTCAAATAAGAGTCCTTAGAGTAAGCCCATACAGACTGTCCCTGCGCACTGCGCACCTTGCCCCTGAATCCGACAACCTCAAACCCCGAAGCCCTCAAATTAACCGCAAACCCAAAACCCTCGTGGAGCTAAACCCTAAGCCCTAAACCCTAAGCCCTAAACCCTAACATATGGAACCCAGCCCAGAAACGTAGGAAAAGGTCCGAGGTTGGGTTTCGTTGTTTGGGCCCCCTTAATACGACAGCCCGCCCCTCCCCTACCCCCGAATATTGAATACTCCCCATATACTGTAATGTAACTTTTATGGGAGTATTTAATGTTAGAGGCCGGCAGGGGTTTAATATCAGGGGGAACCCCCTGGTTCTAGTAGGGAATGAGGGAATTAGGGCCCTGTGTATACCCTTTAAGGGACTATCTGAAGTAGGGTTTATACTCCTTGTATCCCCAAAAGGACGCCCAACAGATACACTCACCAAAATAAAAGGAACCGTATACACTCACCAACAGCAGTAAGAAAAACCCTGCTTCATATGAAGTAGGGTATATATTTCTTGTGCCCCCAAAAGGACACCCAATATATACACTCATCAATATTAAAAAGGAACCTTATATACACTCACCAAAAACAGAAATATAAACCCTGCTTCATATCGGGCCCTACTTCCCTCAGTCCCTACTAAGAACCAGCCAGGTAAAGGATTTCAGGGCTTCCTGAGACCGCCAAGAGGAGCTCAATCTCCTTACCCCTAAACCCTAAACCCTAAACCCCTAAACCCTAAACCCTAAACCCTAAACCCTAAACCCTAAACCCCCAAACCCTAAACCCTACACCCTAAACCCTAACCCTAAACCCTTCAGGCTTCCCGAGGCGGCCTTGAGAAGCTCAATCTCCTTGGCTTCGTTCTCCATGCGCTGCTTCACCTTGCGAGCACAGGTCTGGAGCTTAGGCTGTAACCCTAAACCCTAAACCCTAAACCCTAAACCCTAAACCCTAAACCCTAAACCCTAAACCCTAAACCCTAAACCCCTAAACCCTAAACCCCTAAACCTTAACCCCTAAACCCGAAACCCTTCAAGGTTCCATGCGGCTTGCGGGGCTTGCTGTGCATAAGAAAAGATCTCGCCAGGATCTGCTCGCACCCAACCCTGCCCTACCACCCGGCCGCCAGACCCACCGAGACAAAGCCTTACTTGGAGGTTCAGGGGTAGCTAGAAGTAGGGTTTAGGGTTTAGGGTTTAGGGCTACTTGGAGGTTCACGGGTAGCTATAAGTAGGGTTATAAGTACCCAAATTGAGATTAGAACTATAGTTGTCCTACTCATAACCCTACTTGTAACTCCCATGAACCTCCAAGTAGAGAGCCCAAGAAACCTGAATTGATCCCACTGATCCCTGTTCGTGGGCTCAGTGAGCTCTCTGGGTAAAACCCAAAAACTCTAAACCCAAAACCCCAAACTCCAAACCTTAAACTCCAATGCGCTCCAGCCCTTTGAAGGAGCCTTCTCCACCTCCTTCCGCCGGGGCAGTGGAAGGGGCAGGCCCTCCGCCTAGGCGTTTTTTTGGGTAGTTCGGCTTAGGGTTTAGGCTTTAGGGCTTAGGGCTTAGGATTTAGAGTTTAGGGTTTAGGGTTTGGGGTTTAGGGTTTAGGGTTTGGGGTTTTTGGGTGGCTTAAATTCGGGTCTTGTTTGGAGCTTCTCGAGTCGACCCTAAGCAGAGTACTTTGCAGGCTGCCTCGACTCCTACACTGCCCTACCAACTGCTTATTAAGAACCCCGGATTTCAAAAAAAAAAAAACTTATTGAGGGCAATGGGTTTTCTTTGTTGTTAATCCTTTTGGGGTTCTTGAGCAAATAGTAGTGACCTTTTTGGACGGGTTCTAGCTAAGGTAGCATCTAGAGCATAGAAGCTCTAGTAGGGCTTGGGCACTCACCCTGCGACCCTGCAGGAGCCCGCCAAAGTTGCGTCGAATGAAAGCAGGGTTCTCTGTTCAACCTCTGGATCTAAATTGTCAGGGTGCAGTGCAGGCTTCAGAGGAACTCACAACTAACCCCCGGAAAGGGACTCCAATTTAGAGAACCTTCCTTCCTTCCGAAGCCCTAAGCCCTAAACCCTAAACCCAAACCCTAAGGCCCAAAGCCCGAAGCCCTGCAAAGCCCTCGCCTTTTTGCAGATCTCCTCCACTTTGGCGGCCTGCTACTTGGGTTTGCCACTTGATTAGAAGTATAGGGTTATAAGTTCTAAGTAGGGTCACTTGAGGTAGAGGAGCTATTTGGGAGGGTGGTCAGGGTTTAGGGTTTAGGTTCTAGGCTGTGGGCTTAGGGATATTAACTTCGGGGTTTAGGGTGCCTCTTGGGATTCTTTGTTTGCGTGAGTGGTCGGTCTTCAATTGGAAGCCCCGCGCTGTCCATTTCCTGCGATTTGGGCTGACAACGTCCAAATTTCGGTAATAGCTGTTCAGGGCTTCTGGGTTCTCAGCTCAGGGTCCAGGTGCTTGAAGAGGTAGGGCGAAAACAACATGCAAGACAAACACCGAAGCAGTCGCCGAACTCCAAAACCCAGACCGCTTCAAGTGCTTTAACTGCCCAAAACCCTAAACCATAAACCCTAAACCCCAAAACCCCCACACTCCCTATAACCCGAAGCCCTTGGTTTCAAGCCAGGCAGCTAACACAAACCCTAAACCCCAGGCTGGGGGTACTCTTGGGTTTTGGGGTCCCTTTTTAAGCATCCCTAAGGGAATAAGGGCCACATTATAGGGTTTAGGGTTTAGGGTTAAGGGTTAAGGGTTTAGGGTTTAGGGTATAGGAGTATATTGAGGGGAACCTTTCGGGGTACAACCTAAGGGGTACAAGTTGCAATCCCTTGGGGTACTTTGGGACGGCGCCTCACTGCGGATGGCTGAAGGCTCCTTCAGCTTCTGCACCGCCGTGCTGCGCGCAAAGGTGCGGTCCGGAAAAAAGGGCTCAACCCTGAACCCTGCACCCTAATCCCTGGACCCTAAAGACTAAACCCTACACCCTAAACCCTACACCCTAAAAAAAACCTACACCCTAAACCCTAAACCCTAAACCCTACACCCCAAACCCTAAATAGTTAAGAACCCCAAAGCCAAGCCTTGGGTTTTTCTTGGCCCTACTTGCGGCTTGCAACACCAGCCTCCCAAAGCCCAAAGCAGTGGCTCTTGAGGAAGTGGGGCCCTAAACCCTAAACCCTAAACCCTAAACCCTAAACCCTAAACCCTAAACCCTAAGGGGCAGTTCTGTGGTGAGCACATGTCAGGACTGCCGAAAAGATCAATTTGGGATTAGGGGCCCTTTTTTAAAGGGAATCCCATTATTTGGGGTCAAAATTAGTCCCTTATGTTCGTAACCCCCCCCCCCCCCATTTTCAAGGCTTTCGGACAACAGGACGATGTCGGAAGTTGGGCTCACGGCTGCTCGATGATTGAGGCTAGGGTTCTCATTCGGGGCTGTAGAGTTGCAGGGCTTGGGGCCTTGGGGTGTTGCTTGTTCTTAGGGTTTGGGGGTTTAGGGCTTAGGGCCTCCTCAACCTTAATGGAACTTGCATTGTATTTATTGGGAAATGGTCCAAAATCAGCAAAAAGTGTTGAGGTTCAGGTTTTGAGGTGACACCCTGGGCCCAAACGACGCCAAAGCTTTAGTTTTTTTGCCCCAGGTCAAGCCATATAGATGCACTACCCTAAACCCTAAACCCTAAACCCTAACTCCTGAGAAAGCCGGGATCTCTGAAACTCGAAGCCCCCGAATGGCCTGTTGACCATGCTCGAGGAGTTTTTTTGAATTCAAGTCTGTGACAGGGACTATAGTACCCCCTACTACTATGACTATTGAGGACTGTTAGCATAAGGGGGAACATCCCAACCTATACCCCCCTAGACACCACAAGGCGCCCGCCTACCCGGCTTCGTGTAGAAGTCGTTTCTCGCACACCAGGCTTTTAGCTCGTCGAACACCTTTGTTGAGGAGGCAGGGCTTGAAAGTTGGGGATGTCTTTGGGATGTTTGCTAATTATGAGTTTAGAGCTTTGGGCTGAAGAGGTCAGGCATGAAGAAGTGTAGCAAGGTCTGGGGCTCGCGCCACCTTGCACGTGGCGAGCTTCTTGCGTGCCCTGCGAGGCACCCCGTCGCAAAGAGACTTTCAAGCGTGGATGTGTGTCGTACGCGCCCTGCGCGCCCTGTCTGAACCCGAAGCCTTCCAGGCCCCATATCCTGAGCTGAGGTTTCTTTGCGGTTCCAATGCTCCACATATTGGGGGTGGGTGAGTGGGTGGGTGATCTAACTTGCACGAAAATGCATGCATAGATAAAGATGAAAACAAGTATATGAATTTAAAAACTACGTACAGCTAAAATAAAAAAACAAACGCAAACGCATAAAAGGCAGAAATCCATAAAGCCTATCGCGGGACTCGGGATTGCTGCATCTGCACCTGTAGCCCCTCCAGACGCGCTGGATATCGATGGCGTACCTGGCTTGGGGATTTCGGGGTTTAGGGTTTGGGGTTTAGGGTTTGATATTGGAGGAATCTTTTTAAGGGCCTGCACACCTGAGCAACCCGCATCCACGTCCACCCGCCCACCCTATATCCTGAAGCGTGCAAAGAGGAACAGCTCGATGGACACTTCGGGGCTCATCGGGTCGACTTGGCGGGTCATGGGGAGTTATCAGTAATGTCATAAGTAGGGAAACTCTAACTACAAACTGATTTAGGGCACTTAAACACCCTACGAACTACCCAAACCCTAAACCCTAAACCCTAAACCCCCATGAAACTACAAGTAGAGGCGGCTCCCCTGGCGCACGTGGAGACAGCCATGTCCCTCGCTTTGTCCAGACGGATCATGACCTGGGTCTCGGCGGTTTGTAGAGGACCCCGGAGAAAAACTCAAGAGTTGGGATTTAGGGTTTAGGGTTTAGGGTTTAGGGTTACAAGGTCTTCCGTGTAAACCCGCATGTCGCACCCAAATGCACAAAAATCGAGTCACAGGAAAAACCGCAAAAATGTGCCATTCCAGCACCGAGGGCGGCTTGCTTTGCGAAGATTTTCGTCTTCCCAAGGACCTGGCACGGCATCTGAGGAGACACCTACACTGTATATGTGTGTATATATATACCCTATAGAATCTCTTAAAAGGTGTGCGTACATATATATATATATATGTATATATATATATATATATATATATAAAGGTACCCTATATAACCCCTTAAAGGGCACATATATATATATATATATATATGGGTGGTTGTCAAAATTATATTGGGTACCCGAAATATTAGGTGCCGTATTATAATAGGGATCCATAAGGGGACCATAATCTTGACAACCACCCATATACAAGACATCTCAATCTCTCCCCCCCTGTCTCATTCTCTCTCTCTCTCTCTCTCTCTCTTTCTCTCTCTTTCTCTCGCTGGGTCGATTTTTGTTTGCTGAAGGCACGTCCAAGCAAAACTTGTCAGTCGTGAACCAGCCCAGTGGTCCGGGATGCCAGGAGATCTATGGGAAAGGCTTTGGGGCTTACTCAAGCCCGCAACTTCCAGCAAATTCCAGTTCCTTTTTCGGGGGGGGGGGGGGGGGGGGGGGGGGGCAGAGGGTTTAGGCTTTAGGCTCAACTTTACACAGATAGAGCGGGGGCCAACGTCAGCAAAGTAGATGGCTTTTTGGATACAGCAGCTTAGGGTCTGACTTCTAGGGTTTATCTAAGGGGCCTGGTATAGGTAGCTCTTCTTTCGGCATCATCCTAAGCCCTATTAACCCCAAAGGGCTCTAGAGCTTGCCAGTGTGCAGCCACACAGATTGGAACCTCAAACCTGGATCCCTGAAATGACGAAATCCTCCGAAGTCCAGAAAAAATGGCAGCTCCCTAAACCCTAAACTACTAAACCCTAAACCCTAAACCCTACACCCCAAGTTCCTGCCGGTCAAGCCACAACACAGACCCCTCGATCCTACTTGGAGGTCCTTGTAGGTAATAAGTGGTTATAACCCTGAATTAGTGTACTTATAACCCTATACTTGTAAGTACACATGAACCTTCAAGCAAAAGCCTCAAACACGCGACCCATCGAACCCTAAACCCTAAACCCTAAACCCTAAACCCTAAACCCTAAACCCTCCTGAGGCCCCGGCCAAGTCCCCAGCGGGCGCGCCTCCCAATGGTTCGAGGGCCTCGGGCAAGGCCTGGCCAAGTCGGAACAATCTAGGGCTTCTGCCTTGGACCCTTTAGGTTGTACCTTTGGGTTTTGGTTTAGGGTTTAGGGTTTAGGGTTTAGGGTTCAGGGTTCAGGGTTCAGGGTTCAGGGTTCAGGGTTCAGGGTTCAGGGTTCAGGGTTCAGGGTTCAGGGTTCAGGGTTTAGGGTTTAGGGTTTAGGGTTTAGGGTTGGGGACCCCTTTTATAAAGATCCTCAAGGTAGTCTAAGGGCCATAATAGGAGAATACCAAGGGGAACGTTTAGGGATATAACCTTGCGGGGTACGAGTCTTAATCCCTTGTAACAAGGCTTCAGGAGGGTTTGCAAGGGCTTCTCAAGGGTTTAGGGCTTTATACAGGGGTTCAGGCATGGTTAGGAATTTGAGAGTACATCCTTAAACCTAAAGCTACTTGTCTGCTGCAGGGACTTCTTTGTCCATCAATCAATCAAAGTTCATGGTTGGGATAATATTAAGAGTCTTAATGTTTATTCCTTACAGGGTTTAAGTACCCTTAAACATGTTAAATCGTACCCAACGATGACCAAGAAAGGGGTGCAAGTTGATTTTCCTACCGGAGGGAAGGAGGTCCCGAAGCACGAGTCACAAAGCCCGAAACCCACCACTGCCGAACCTGACCCTTCTGGGACTTGAGTTGCGCGAAATTCAACCTAAACCCTAAACCCGAAACCCTTCTGAGACTTGAGTAGCGTCACGAAGCGTCGGCCGGAGCTGGAGCTCAAGGCTTTCCACGGGTTCAGGGATTTGAGGGCCCTAAACCCTAAACCCTAAACCCCAAACCCCAAACCCTAAACCCTAAACACGAGCTCGCCTCAAGGAAGGCCTTTGCACGCTCAGGCTCCGAGGCTGCAGAGAAGATGGCCTTGTGCTTTGCCTGGCGCAGAGGTTTGATTGGGGTTTAGGGTTTAGGGTTTAGGGTTTAGGGTTTAATTTAGGGTTTAGGGTTTAGGGTTTAGGGTCCAGGCCGTGTGTAAAGTGCTCGAGATTCGGACTGGGGGTTGGAAGACGGTTTAGGAGGCAAACAGGAGACGATGGCGCATCCTACCATCATAGCGGACCTGCTATGCACTTCCGCTTGTATCAGGCATGGCGTAACATCTTGGCACGCCTCGGAACATGTCTTCTTCACTCGTTACATAATCTTGCTGTGCTTAGTATGGATGAGGGAATGAGGTACCCTATATCTATATCTATATATATATATATATATACCCTTTAAGGGATGATATGGGGTACCTCATTCCTTCATTCCCTACTAACCAACAGCAAGTAATGTTCGAACTCGAGGATTAGGATTTTGTTTGCAAGCCCCTGCTCTTGCAGTGTTCATTCAGACAATGAAGAAGCAAAAATAATTGGAATAGCGGCTTTGGCGTTACAAAAGTATACCTATAATGACCATACCGGGATACCAGTTACTATTCCAACCCCTAAATTAGGTGCAGGGTGTAGTCTTGCTTCCATGGTGAACGTCGCCGAGGGTTTAAATGACAACGAAACGCAAGCACATTCCTGTATACATCCTGAACCTAACCCAGAAAGGTTTTATGGGCTGCAAACTCACCCAGACTCAGACCCATACTTCACCAAACACACGTAATATAGGGGTCGGAATAATTACTCATGGTATTCCCGAATCGTCCTTTTATAAATATATAGCATAAGATCCCCCCGAAAGCACTCTTCTAATTATTAAAGCCCCAATCCTTTCCCTGGCTGGTTCTTAGTAGGGAATGAGGGAATGAGGGCCCCACATAATCCCGTAACGGGTGTATCCCAAACACACACAACTCCCATCATAAACCCCAAGCCCTAAAGCCTAAACCCCTATATCAACATGGGCACCTTAAATCCCACGCCCTGAATGTCCTGAGCCCGAAGCCTTCGGCACGACGATCCGGTATCTGCCCAGGAAGTCCTTGGGTTTAGGGTTTAGGGTTTAGGGTTTAGGGTTTAGGGTTTAGGGTTTTCGACTCCTGCTTGCATCAGTCTTCTGCCCTACACTCCTACAGGGCGAAGGAAGATATCGAGACCGGGAATCTCAGCCAGGCAAAGCCGAAACACGACTGCCCTTTGAGAAACCTCTCTCTCTCTCGCCTTTGGATTTCCAAGGCCTGGCCTTTTGGCTTAAAAGCCAGCCGCTTGAAAGCCCCTGGACCCTAAACCCTAAGCCCTAAACCCTACACCCCAAACCCTGAAACCTGAACCCTGAGCCCTGAACCCCAAATCCTAAACCCTAAACCCTAAAAGCCTTGAGCAACCCTCGCCACGCCAAGGCTCTCCAAACGGCACTCGTGCGGCGAAGCCGGACTGGCGAATGCGGACGGCCTGTCTGACTCCGTTGTGGGGTTGTTAGGGTTCCTAAACCCTAAACCCTGAACCCTAAACGCTAAACCCTAAACCCTAAACCTAGACCCTAGACCCTAGACCCTCGACCCTAAACCCTAAACCCTAAACCCAACCTAGAGGGTGGTTTAGGGTTTAGGGTTCAGGGCTTGGGTCTCCCTTTCCCCCCAAAAAAAACTACACACTAAATAGTCCAGAGGAGCTGGTTAGGGGCTGAAGCACTTATAAACCCTACTAAGCCACACCTCCGAAAATGCAAAGAACCCTAACCTGCCCCCCCTCCAAACCGCAGCCAACATGCATTAGCCCTAAAAGATTTCTTATTATTTGGTCCGGCCTTCGGGAACAATATGATAACGATTGAACGAATCATCCAAAAAGCCGGATTGTACGTGTCACTTGTTCGTGCTTACTTTTCTCTTTTTCTGCGTTCATGCGCGATTATAACGAACTAAAAGTGAAGTTCATTCCTAACTCTCTTCATTAGAAAACCAGAAGTTAAGGACCAATTAATAAAGGAGTTTACTAAAAGGGCTTTTTACTAATGATTATCACGTGTACGAACTAAATAAGGCACTTCCAAAGTTCCCAACTTCTAAGCACCTCATCTAGGCTGCCCAGTAACCTAGGCTTAAAAAGGGTGCCCTTTTTTGCTTAAAGGGGTTTATGAGGGAACCTAAACCCCCCCAAAAAGGGAATAAGGGTACTACTGGGCATCCTAGTCATAATATGAGCCAAACCCTAAACCCTAAACCCTAAACCCTAAAATAATGCCTGTCCCATGGCCTCGAAGACACCGCTGCAGGTCAGCTGCTCCATGACAAGCTTCGATGTGAACTTGTTAGGCACCTCCGACAGGTTTCGCAGCGTTTGGCGTTTGGAGCACCTACTTTAGGGTTTAGGGTTTAGGGTTTAGGGTTTATGGTTTAGGATTTAGGGTTTAGGTTAAGAATCCGCCTGACCGAAAACAGGCCAAGCGGCGAGGTTTAGACCCTGAAAAGAGGTCTAAAGAGGTCTAGCTAGATGTTTGGAGTTGAGGGCAGGGGGCCTTGCCGTCACACCGGGAATGGCGGCGGTTTTGAGGGTGGGCAGTCGTAGGCTGCGACGAAGCACCTCACCATCCCATTGAGGGGGGGGGGGGGGGGGGGAACCAGATCCGCATCTGCCACTTTTCGGGATCACGGGGGCTGTTGTTTTCATGCGTTCTTCGCGCTTGATGAGCTGTTTTGGTACCATTGTGGAGTCCTTGGAGCCAACCCTCTAATGCGGTATCCTGATTAGTGTGGGGGGGCCCCCCCCCCCCCAACTAAATCCGCCCCCGCAATAGTGTCACCAAAAAAAGGGACCCCCCCAAACTAATTTTCGGCCCCGGGCCCCCCCCCCACCGGCTCCTCTTCATTTCCTCTTCGCTCCTCTTCCCTCTCCTCTTAGGTAATTAAGCTCAGGTAAGCTCAGATGAGCTCAGCTCAGGTATCATCTTGTTCTCTTTTTTTCTCTCTTCCGAAACCCATGCCCGAAAAACTTTACTTTATTGTGGGGGGGGGGCAATCGAATTTTTGTCTCCTGAATAATTTTTGGAAAACTTTTCATTATTGGAGGGGTCCAGACTAATCAGGATACGACATTATGCATCAAGGGGCCGGGGCAAGCATCGGCAGCATCAGCAAAGATCGGCTAAGGCAACGAAATCAGGTCCGGCACCAGCGCTCCGTTCTGTGTTTATCAAAGCGGTCCTGCTGCAGCGACGAACTGAACAAACAGGGCTATGTGAACATCCGGAGCAACCCACCCACTTTGAATCCAGATTTTGCTGACTGTTGATCGTGGGGGCAGAGGCGGACACGGATGCGGGTCGCGCAGCACTCGATTGCATCGCATCCACTTGTATACTCTTACTATGGACATCACTAATTACAGCTTAAAAACCCTCCATAGACCCTTGCCAAAAGACTTCTCAGCCGTTGCCTTCTCCGCATTTGGCTTGACGCAGCGGATGAAGTGGGGATCCGCCTCATTCAGCTTCTGCACCTGTCCGCCAGACGGGTAGCCGGGTGGGCGTCGGTAGGCTGAGATTCGACCTCTGGGTATAGGTTTAAAGCCCGAGGTTCCTCATTCCCTGTTCCCTAAAAATAGTGAGATTAGAGTCCAGGGTTCTATATAGGGTGTTCTTCCTTGGAAATTTTTGTGTCTCTCAAGGGCTACAGACTCGGGGTTGAAGGGGGCAACGTGCTGGTTGGGGTTCAGCTTTCGGTATGCAGTCCTCCCTTGATTCTGCGATCCTTCGGGTCCCTTCATTGAGTTGAATGCCCGAAACAGCCAGGGCGACCCAACCCAATCAGCAAAGCAGCTACGGTGATCCCCAAAATCATGCCCGTGAAACTCATACCGACTATCGACTCCTAGGGTAGCTACATGCTTGCTTAGTATGGGCCCTTGAAAAGGGGCCCCTTGTATACCCCCTTATATCTTATACACACTTTGGGATGTTCCCCCTTATACTAGCAGTCCTTAATAGGGAATAAAATAGGGAATACTATAATCCCTAGTAAGGACTGCTAGTATAACGGGGAACATCCCAAATGACCCTACACAACCCTACGGTTTAATTCTAACTCCCTAAGGCCCCTAAATCCTCTCTCCAAGGTCGCCACCAGTTGCGCGAGGGAGCTGCGGAAACCGGAGCTAACGGTCTTGGCCTGGCAAGGGTTTAGGGTTTAGGGTGTAGGAGTTTAGGGTTTACGGCGCAGGGGGGGTTTACCATATTAAAGGGGTAATTACCTTATGGGGGTCCTTATTATAACTATTTGGGGGTCTATATTAGGGGTCCCTGATTATCAGACGTAAACCCCCATAGAACCGTATCAGGTGTAGGGTCCAGGGCTTTGGGCTTAGGGAAATATCAACACTCATCTCCCAGTTGCTCGGACTTCCACTTGCTTCACTTTGGTTCTGTTTCTTAAAATGACTTGACAAATTATGTTCACGCACGTGGCTTGCACAACTGGTGCCCGATGATCGCAGGAGATAGTACAGCAGAGGGCCTTGAATAGGAATCGGCTCTGTAGTGGAGGGGGGGGGGGGGTGCAGTCTTCCTGCAACCCTACCCACACACTCCCCCCCAAACTTCTGAATCACAACTCCCAGACCACCCAATCCAAGGAAAGAAGAACCGAACCTAGGTAGCCCAGCAACCGTATTTGCAACAAGGGTATCATTTTTTGGCTGGTTACTTTAAAAGGGAACCTTGAACCAAAAAGCAACGAAGAGGGTACCACTGGGCCCCCAAGGAACCCTCTAAAACTTGTGGGCTCCGAACCTGCAAAACCTACTATTTGCTTAATAACTCCCCCCCAAGAAATAAAGATCATTCTTCCTTGTAAGGGTAGTATAGGGACTGTTACATCTTTTCTCTTTTGGGGTTCTTCAGCAAATAGTAGAAGCCGCGTCCAGAGGGCCTTCTTCTTGCCAGGGCCTCCCGTCGCCTCTGCGAGCTCGTCAGCAATGGCGCCGCCAATCTGAGAGCAGGATATGAGCCTAACCACTTGCTGTTTCGGGTTTAGGGTTTAGGCGGATTAAGGTTTAGGGTTTGGGGTTTAGGGTTTAGGGGCTTGGGGTTTAGGGTTTAGGGCCGACCCTCTCAAACCAACCCAGACCCCCTCCCCACCCACCAACAAAAAACAATCAGGGCTGCAGACCGCTCATTCATGACATGTTGGTACTTCATTCATACTTATATAAATATAAATATAAATAAATATAAATAAATAAATATATATATATATATATATACTGCAGAAGGGTGGGGGCAAGACCTGGGCACTTGCGTCCCTGAACCGGCAACTCCAAGCTCCAAGCTCTTTTGCAAGCCCTAAACGTCAGGCCTTTGACACAACCAAACAATATGTCCGAATTGGCCTTGACCCTAAACCCTAAACCCCTAAACCCCTAAACCAATAAACCCCTAAACCAATAAACCCCTAAACCCCTAAACCCCTAGACCCCTAAACCCCTAGACCCCTACACCCCTAAACCCCTAAACCCCTAAACCCTAAACCCTAACCCTCAACCCTAAACCCTAGACCGGAGCCTCCTGGAGCACCACGAGCTTGGATCCCTTTAGGAGATCGGCGGCCTGAAAATCATGGGCCTATACGAAGTAAGGGGTTTTGGGGTTTAGGGTTTAGGGTTTGGGGTTTGGGGTTTAGGGGTTTAGAGTTTAGGGTTTAGGGGTTTTGGGGTTTGTTAGGGTTTGGGGTATAGGGTTTGGGGTTTGGGGTTTAGGGTTGGGGTTTAGGGCTTTAGGGTTAAGGTTTCCAAACCTTACAACCACCCCCCCGCCCCCAAGTATGGCCGAAGCAAAGAATAGTTGCAGGCGGTCTGGGCCTTGTTTTGGTGGGGGGGTAGTGTAGGATCCCATGAGAAAAGACGAGGTTGAGGGCTTCGTGGTTGAGGATGCCTTAAGTCGGGGATTTAGGCCCTATAGGGTTTAGGGTTTAGGGTTTAGGGTTTAGGGGTAGGCCCTATAGTGTTTGGGGCTGGGGCATCGGAGAGCTTCTCGCCGCCCCCCACACCCACACAGCCGAATGTCAAAGCAGCCACCCGGGGCCGAAAGGGCTGCGCAAAGATGCTGACAGAGATGTACATGTATATATATATATATACATATTATAGGATCCTAAATTCTCCCTTAAAGGAACTTAGAGGCCCTATAGTATCCCTTAAAGGGGTATATATAGGGCCCTAATTCCCTCCTTCCCTACTAAGAACCAAGGGGGGTTCAGGCTCGACACCTCGTCGGGAGGCTTGTCCACGTTCTTCTCGAGGAAGCCCTCGCTGCTGTAGGTAACCTGGCATCTCTCCCTAAACCCTAAACCCTAAACCCTAAACCCTACACCCTAAACCCTAAACCCTAAACCCTAAACCCTATACCCTAAACCCTAAACCTACCATGTGCATATAGGGGCCTTAATAGTTAGGTTTGTTTTTTTGGGGGGATGGGGAGTTAGTATAGTATTTTACTATACTTATATACTATACCTATATAGGGGCCCCACCGTATGCAAGGAGCAGTGGAGGTTTAGGGAAGTTAGAAGTAGGTTTCTGGATACCCCAGACATGAGGTAACTAGCTACCCCCACTTACAACCCTGCGTACAACTACCCATGAACCTGCAAGCAAGTATAGGGCCTCCCGACATAAGCATTTTGGACTTCAGGGAGGTCGCAATCCGAAACCGCTTGCTTGATAGGGTTTAGGGTTTTGGGTTTGAGGTGTATTGGGGTTAGGGATGAGGGTGTTTAGTCATCTTTAGCCTACAGAAAAAGAACATCCACCCATGAGTAAGGTACTTGTCTTTTTTAAGGGTATGTAAGCTACTCTAGGTAAGGTTACGGTGTCTACTTTGTTGGGCAGGGGGGGAGGGGGGGAGTCTTTTGCAGAAGTGGGGTCGGGGGAGGGGCGGGGCGTACGGTATATCCAACCAGGGCCGCATGAGTGTCTGGGCACTCATGCATGATGGGGCGATAAGGGTCTTTGCGATGTTGGTTTGTCCTGAGTCTCTGGGGGTGTGGGATTGGGGTCTCTTTTTGTTGGGCATCTTTCTTTGCAAGTCTTGTGCTTGCCTCGAAACGGAGGCAACTCGGTGGAGCCGTACAAAAGTGTATGACTCCAGCGATAGTCCACACGTTTGGAGGAATCCGCGGCATTTTTGCACGCGAGCCTAAACTTAAGAGGCCGTTTGCTAACAAACTGTGGGCGCTGGCAAGCGTCCTGCAGTTGCAAAGACACCATCCTCCGGCTCCGCCAGCTTAAACAAGTATAGAGCCAGAGAGTCGAGTAAGAGCCTGGCGCGCGCGACGGCGCGAGGTCCGGACCCTGGTAATATAGGGGCTTTAATTGTTAGAAAGGGGTTTTGGGGGGCGGGGGGGGGGGGGGTCAATATATAGTACTATACAAAACTGATATACTATACTCTATGTAGGGGCCATAAGGGAATACTCTTAGGCATTGTTCCGACCGCTACATTTCCTTTCTTGTCAAGGCCAAGGTCTTGACGAGGCTCTGAAGAGATTTCGAATGGTCCCTGTACCGCTTTGGGCAGAAAAAGGACTGGGGCATCACCGGTTTTAGGGCTTTAGGGTTTGAGGGTTTTTTTTGAGTGCTTTGGGTTTTTGAGGTTTTTAAGGTTTTTTGGGTTTTTGGGAATCTCACCTGAGCATCCTAATTCAAAGGGCACTTCTGAAGCTCAGGCGGCGCAATCTGGCCTCTCACCCTAAACCCTAAACCCCAAACCCTAAACGGCAATCTGGCCTCTCACTCCCGATACTCAGTGCTCAGGAACAACACCAGCCGCTGGATGTCCTCGAAAGTGCTCAGGTACCTCATAGGGCCAACTTGAAATTTAGGGTTTAGGGTTTAGGGTTTGGGGCTTCGGGTGTTAGAGATTGTGCAAGGTTGGGCTTTTCAGCTTAAGTCTCACATGGTGCTTTGGAATGTAACGCGGGGCCGCTTAACGAGGCTACAATATGGTCGCATGCAGCACAAAACAAGGGACAACAAAAACTTAGGAAACAAAACAGCCGAACTCCAGCCCAAACCCGAAACCCTAAACCCATTCAAGATTCAGAGCTGAGAGCAAAGGCTTTTGGACTCTAGCAGGGTTTGGGGCATGTTGGGCCGGTGCAGTCTTCAGGGGTCTCTGAAGTCACAAGCCAACAGCCCCTGAACTAAAAACATGCGTCTGCCCTCCCGATTCGAGCCCTGGAACCTTCAACCTTAAGCGGGTTTAGGGTTTGGGGATTTGGGTTTAGGGTTAGGGTTTAGGGTTTCTTTCTGATACGGAGTCTGGGCTGATGTCGCACTCAACCACGGGTGGGTTTAGGGGTTAAGAGACCGGTCAGGGTCCCGAAGCAACCCACCTAAACCTACGAAAACTTACTGTTAGTTAGTGGGGAATGAGGAATGAGGTACCCTACATAATCCCTTAAAGGGTATATAGGGTTTAGGGTTTAGGGTATAGGCGGGATATAGGGTACCTCATTCCCTCATTCCCCGCTAACCAAGAGTAAGAAAATCCATGGCGGGATGCCCCACACTCGCTCGCACACTCCCGAAGGGCATCCTTGGCAGTGTTCAGGGCCATTTCTAGGGCCCCTAAACCCTAAACCCTAAACCCTAAACCCCAAACCCTAAACCCTAAACCCTAAACCGAGGGCTGGGGCATTGTTGGCGCTTAGGGCAATACGGGTTTAGGCTAGAGGGTTGAGGGTGCATATCCTCAACCTTGAAGCCCTTTAACCCTACAGTCCAGTACTGTAAATCCTTAAGCCAAGACATAAAAACCCAAAAAGTTGGAACATCCGTCTCCCTGTACCCCACATGGAATACTACAAAGAGAATCTCAGCCCCAATCACCCTTAAACCATGACCCAACTTTCTAGAGTTTTACTGTAATACCTAAAACCCTAAAACCGCAAAAACCCTAAACCCCTCAACCCCCAAATCCCTTAAACCCGAAGACCATAAACCCGAAAGCCTAAACCCTAAACCCTAAACCCTAAACCTCAAACCCTAAACCCCAAACCCTAAACTCTAAACCCTAAACCCTAAAAACCGTGGACCCCACCTCCTCTCCAGCAACCGCCTCCCACTTCAACTCCGCCCGGGGAAGGTCCATGGGAAGAAGGCACTATCGGGTGGCCTGCGCCTGAACTCTTTAGGGTTTAGGGTTTAGGGTTTAGGGTTTAAGGTTTAGGGTTTAGGGTTAGGGTTTAGGGTTTAGGGCTTTAGGGTTTGGGGTCTAGCTAAACCCTAGACCCTAGACCCTAAACCATCCTAAACCCCACCCCAACTCCTAAACCCCACCCCAACAACTCAAGCAAGGCGCTCCCATTGGGGCTCCAACCCTTGGCACAGGGAGCGGGTAGGCTTTACTACCTGTGGGAGTACGGGTGTATCCCATGTTGAGTAGTTGCTTGAGGGGCTTGCCGGGCTCTGGGAAGGGTTGAAGGTGCACAGGGTTTAGGGTGTTTCACGGGGTTGTGGGGCTCTGGGGGCACTCGAAAGGTTCTTAGGGTCAGAGGCTGATGGGGTGTTTTGGGAGTAGGGAGTCACCCTCTGTACCTGCTGACAGGGGCTCAAGCGAAGCCGAAAAGTTTGCAAGCTGCCTTTGTATGCCGTGATTTTTGATGCGCATGAAAACTACTAGGATGAGTCAGTCTACCTTTTGTTGCGGCTTGGCTCGTCGTGGTGTCCTTGCTCGGCTTCGCATCTGTGCTTGGCTGCTGCCGCCATCGATGTTGCATTTCTTAGGAGTCAGATGCTTTTGTCCGGTGACCCAGATCCAGTGTCAGTACTCCAGGTTCAATACATTCCGTACAGAATTCGGGGCTTACCGTTCCGTACAGCAAGGGCCCTCCTTACATTTAGGGCACCTTAACTGCTAATTGCTTAAGAACACCCCAAAAAATATAATAATAATAATAATAAATAATAATAACAATAAATATAATAATAAACATTCTTCCTTGTTGAGGGCAACATAGGGACCACTACTTGTTCTCTAGTTTTTTAAAATTTCTTGGGGGTTCTTAAGCAAATAGCAGTCAAGAAGGACCACCTTTAAGAGCCCCCGAAACTCCTGCAGTCCAACCTCAACAGTGTGGTCCCCATCGTCCTGTATTGCTACAGGCATGTAGGACCTGACCCATACACCCGAAACCTCTACTCCCCTTAGATAGGTCACCATCGCAGCCCCGGAATCCCCCCTAAACCCTAAACCCTAAACCCTAAACCCTAAACCCTAAACCCTAGACCCTAGTCCCTCGACCCTAAACCCTAAACGCCTTCATCCTGGGAGCCTTGGAGGGCATCCATGAAGTCCATCTTCGCAGAAGGCGGCGCGGGGGTGACGGAAGGCCTGCCTGGAGTTCCAGCAAGAAGTCTAAGGAGACCTTCAACTAGGTTTAGGGTTTAGGGTTTAGGGTTTAGGGTTTAGGGTTTAGGGTTTAGGGTTTAGGGTTTACGGTTTAGGGTTTAGGGCTATATATACATTAAGATACATGAAGGGCTCCTGATGTGAGCTCAGGACCCCCAGAAGTGAGGGGTAAACCTTCAAAGTATACAGGGACCCTGATTGCCCTAAACCCTAAAACCCTAAAACCCTAAACCCTAAACCCTAAACCCTAACCCTAAACCCTAAACCCTAAACCCTAAAATGGATTAGAGCCGTATTGGGCTATCCGGGTTTGGGCATAGGGGGGGATGAAGGCCTGCCGTGCTCAGCACCAGCGCGCAAACTTCAGGCCCTCAACCGCAGGCTATTTGGGGCTTTCAACTTTCGAATTGTGTGAAGGATCTGTTCATTTACTATAAGATTCATTTTGTGTGTGTGTGTGTGTGCTTTAATCTTTTTGGTGTTTTTTTTTTTGGGGGGGGGGAGGGGGTGAGAACGGGAAGATCTAGAACACCCTCAGGGCGCAACCAGGGAAGCCCCATAAGCTCTAACCCACAAGCAATTCCTAAACCCTAAACCCTAAACCCTAAACTCTAAACATCAGAGTGTCCCAGGGCCGCCTGTGTAAAGCCGGTGGCACGCCTCATCGCTGATAGCGCGGACAGCACTCGCCCTGCACTTCACCTTGGGGGGGGGGGGGGGGGGGGGGGGGGGGCTTAGATGCTTTTGAAGCTTCGGGGCCTGTAGGGTCTAGCGTTCACGGCTTGGGGTTTGTTGGTATTGAAGGCTTTGGGCTTTGAGGTTCAAGGAGTGTTTGGGCTCTAGGATTTAGGCTTATCCGTTCTTGGTCGCGACGTCACAAGGAAAAAGGCTGATCCATGAAGAGATGTTGACCTGACGGCCAATAGCCGCTAAGCGACAAGGCTAAAACTCCAACCCGGGGTTTGGGGTTTGGGGTTTGGGGTTTGGGGTTTGGGGTTTGGGGCCCGTTTGGGGTTTAGAGTTTAGGGTTTAGGGTTTAGGGTTGAGAAGGGCGAGGGGGGGGGGGGGGTCTGGTAAGCCGCAACGTTTTCAAGCAGGATGCGAAGGCAGGCCCGCTGCCGCAGCCCTGAATGGAGGTGTCCTGGGCCCAGAGTCTTTGCCAACATTGTTCATACTATTCTGCAAGCACTACTACTGTTCTGACTATCGTAATTGTTGCTATCTATTCTAATCTCGGTCTTGTCACTCTGATGATGTTCAAGGCATATACACTTACGCTATAAGAGGTCCTTGTTCTTGCCATCATGGGTTTTGGTATGTCATTATAATTCCCTTGACCCAGGAATGTGGTGTTTGAAACTTCTGCGGTTTTTTTGGGCTGAAAAGGCCTTATCGGGCCGAGAGGGTTCGAGGGCTCAAGACCGCTTCAGCTTCAGGTCTGTTCTATCAATAATAATAAATAATAGTAAAAACAGTAATAACAACAATAATTATAATAACAATAATAATTATTATTACTAATAAGCTACAGTATCATGATGACCTCAGGGGAATCCTGCGGTGCTGCTAGGCCCCTAGAAGCTACCGGCTACACAGGTTTCCGCGGGGATTGCGGCTCATAGAACTTTGAAGCTGCTTCGAATACCCCTAAACCCTAAACCCTAAACCCTAAACCCTAAACCCTATTGACTCACGCAAGTGTGGGGTTTTAGGCTGTTGGGTTTAGCATGATTGAGGGACTCGGGCATGAAGGGCTGACGGCCAGAACACCCCTTACTGCCCTCTAGTATGCTCTATACCCCGAAGCGCCAACCCCAAGCCCAAGAACCCAAACCTTAACAAACCCTAAACCCTAAACCCTAAACCCTAAATCCGAAAACCCTAAACCCTAAACCGCCCTCAACAAACCCACGTTTGGCGTCCTGGGCCGCGTCCCGGATGGCTTCTGGGGGAAGCCCGAGGACGGTGGTGGCCGCCCCAGGGTTGCCTGGGCTTTGGGGGGCTTCAAGGGCCTTCAGGTTTAGGGTTTTTCGGGTTTTCGGGTTTTAGAGCTTTACGGTTCGGGTGTAGGGTTTAGGGGTTTTAGTGCTCTGAAGGGCTTTGAAGAGCTTTGAAGGGCTTTGAAGGGCTTTTGGAGGTTGTGGTCGGGGGGATTTTGGGGGTCAAGGGTATTGGGGGGGCTCGGGGTTTGCCGGTTAGTTAGGCTTCTCAACGGCCGTGACTCGGTGATTTGGCACCCCAACATGACTTTGAACAACCCTAAACCCTAAATCCTAAACCCTAAACCCTGAACCCTGAACCCTGAACCCTAAAACCTAAATCCTAAACCCTAAACCCCAAACCTTAACAAGCCTTGAGTCCTTGACCATTCAGGGCTTCGGCTTGGGTTCTGGGCGGCTTGCCGTCGCAGCGACGACTGGTCGGTTGATAGGGATAGGGTTTAGGTTTAGGGTTCAGGGTTCAGGGTTTAGGGTTCAGGCTTCAGGGTTTAGGGTTTCCCTGCAACCCAAAAACCTACAAATTAGTGGGTGATCACCGCCGAACAGGGGCACAAACCACCCAGGAAACAAACACGAGGAACTTGTTGTCGCAGGCATCTAAAGCCCGAGCCCGAAATCCTAAAACCTAAAGAAGCTAAGCCTGAAATACCCTAAATCCCGACAACGGTGGGTAACTTGGGGTCCCAGGTTACCGGGTTTAGGGTTTAGGGGCCTCTTGTCTGCAGCTAGAGGATCATCAAGGTGGACAAGGTGAAGGCTTCTGTTGAGTTACGACTCCCGGGTTCTTTGTGTCTAGAATCCAATAAAAAACAGTCGAGAGCCCTCACACCGTGAGCCAACACACATGGGCGCACAGAAGCTCTGAGCCTTGCATGCTGCCTGGAAGCAGTGCATCCCGGCGCGGATATGGATCCCAGCCTTCAGACCATAGAGGGGCACCGGGGATGGCGGAGGCAAAATCCTCTGAGCCCCCCCTCTCCCTCAAAGGGGCCCCCTAAGTAGTACATCTTCGCCCCGGGCCTCACCCCCTACGCCAGCCGTGCTCCCCAAGAGTCGAGAAACCATGTGGGGGCTTGCGTCCTGACTACAAGAAAAACCTACTCTTTGGGGAGGGTCTATTTAGGGTTCTCGTATGTTCGAAAGGCCCCCTAACTTGCTTTAGGGCTCTGAGCATTTTGAGTCGGTGTCGCGCTTGGGGTTCGACTCTCAGGAGCTTTTTCGGTACTCCCTTAGAACTTTGACGAATCGTGTTTCAAGGTTCCCTTGGGTTAAACATAGATGAAACATACTTCCCGAGGGGGGGCAAACGTCGAGGTGGTTGTAAGTTGCTTGGCCTTGTTTGGGGGTTTGGGGGAAACTGCTGCAGATATACTCCTTGTAGTTCAGCGGTCTCAGAAAGAGCCCGTCATTCCCCATTCAGATCCCCCTGAACCCTAAAACCCTAAAACCCTAAAACCCCAAAACCCCAAAATCCCAAAACCCTAAAAGTTTAGGGTTTCGGGTTTAGGGTTTAACCTTCCCCTAAAAAAAGGATGCAAATCCCAAAACCCCAGGTTGGATGTTAGGGGCCTCGGCTGCGGTGGCCATGACGTCGATGTGGCTGATCAGGGTGCCTTTGGCTTCTGAGCTTGCCCTTAACAGCAATCTTTGTTTAGGGTTTAGGGTTTAGGGTTTAGGGTTTAGGGTTTAGGGTTTAGGGTTTAGGGTTTGGGGGGGCTTAGGGCTGAGGGCTGAGGGCTGAGGGCTTAGGGCTCACGGCTCAGGGTTCAGAGCTTAGGGGTGCCCTGGTTCTTAAGCCATCTATTAGCCGCCATAATCCCCAAAAACATGTGTAGCAAGGGGATGATAGCACCCAAAGCCCTAAACCCCCCACGCCCGGAGTTTGCTTGCTTTTTGCTGCCGTCCTTTGCAGGAACCTCGGACTTAAACCCTAAACCCTAAACCCTAAACCCTCAACCCTCAACCCTGAACCCTAAACATTGATGGTCAATGGTCAGATGTGTCCAAGGCCTTGGGGGCAGACAGGTAGGCCCTGAAAGCCAGCATAACTTGGAGTTGGCTAACATGCGGGGAAAAAGAACTGTTACTCATAGCCCCCCCCCACCACCCCCGCACCCTAGGGTTTAGGGTTTAGGGTTTAGGGTTTAGGGTTTAGGGTTTAGGGTTTAGGGTTCCCCTTGAAAAATGATACAAAGAACGACGCTTTTCAACTCGTAAACCCCCAGGAGGGCAGAACAGAAAAAAAAAAAAAAGGCATCAAGCACACCTCAAGAGCTTCAGCAGCCCGAGCCCCAAGCTCGTATAGAGTAGAGTTTAGGGTTACAGAGCTTCGGAGGTGAGTGTACTATGGAGGTCGGAGTAATTTCTGATCGTATTCCCTGCTGGCCCCTAAATAATTATAGTGAAATAACCCCCCAAAACCCTATTCAAATTATTTAGGCGCCTACATTGTTTCGGACGGGCAGCTGTCAGCACGCAGCACGTTGAAATTCACGATTGGCCCCTGGCCCGTTCGCGGGGTGTTGAACAAAGCTGCGTTACGAGAGGCTTGGTTGCGTTACGAGAGGCTTGGTACCCAGGGCTTGAGGTGTACGGTGGATCGTTTTCGGGCTTACCACCTGCGACAAGCCTCCGATCATCCCTATTTGGCAACCTCCTTACCTTGACAAAAATGAAGCCAAGCTTCGAAGCTTAAAACCGGGTCCTCCCGAAACCACGGATACCTTCCTAATCTAAGTACTGGCTGAATACCTTCCAGCCTTCCCGCCGTCGCAAGACCCAAAGGACTAAATCCCAACCGCGAGAGTCCGAGAAGTATCACTTGTAGTACTATTTGGTGCATTCTTCCAGAATCGTACTACAAGTTGACACTCTGTCAGGAAAAAAGCCTTAGGATTAAGTGCGTTTTATAGGCCATTGAACTCACCAAAGCACCCTAAAGCCCCAATGGATGTGCCTGAACCAGCTGTCCGCTCGCGTCTACACCTATGTCCCGGCTGTACATGGCGATCACCTGCAAAGGAAGCCCCAAGCCACGCAGAGCTTTCGTCCCACTGCTTCACTATATAGAGCCTCAACCCTAAACAATAAAGCCTAAATCATAAACCCTCCACCAGAAGGATATAGGGGCGGATTCGGCAAGGGACCAAGGCGCTTCATTGCCCTTCCTCAAACGAGATTCAGGATCACCCAAAAACCTCACCATCACCTAGTCCTTACCCTGCTCTGACGAACGGAAGATCCCCGCTTGTGGGTTTCGGAGCTCGTGTTTTGCGTGATTGCTGATGTTCCCCTTTGAAGCCCTGAACCCTCAATCCACCTTGCCGATAGAACCCAACTTGAGTCCAGGAAGGCGCCTTCCGGGCCCCACTGTTCAATGTCGATTCCCCAACGAAGTCAGGGCTACCGAAACCCTTGCGGATCCCCTCAACATGCAAGCTTTGCCATGATTCAAACCCTTATAAACCTTAAACCTTAAACCCTAAAAACCTTAAACCCCAAACCTTAAACCCTAAAAACCCTAAACCCTACAGTAAACCCGAAACCTTAAACCTTAAACCTTAAACCCTCAAAAACCCTGAACCTTAAACCTTAAACCCTAAACCCTAAACCTTAAACCTTGAACCCTTGAAGAACCCTCAAAAACCCTAAGCCCCAAAATGCCGCCCGCTTGCGGGACTGCCGTTGCTGTGCTGCAACTCGGCAAGCTGACGGTGCAGCTCCGCCGCCAGGCAACCTGGGCACTGCCAGTCTAATTCAGGCACCCAAGTACGTTGCGGTGGTTTAGGGTTTATAGGGATTGCGGTTTAGGGGCTTAGGGTTTAGGGTTTAGGGTTTAGGGTTTAGGGTTTCGGGTGTGGTGTTTAGGGTTTCGGGTTTCGGGTTTAGGGTCTCAGGGGTATTCTTGAGTTCTATGAGAAATGGGGTTTACGAACATGGGGGGACCCCTAAAAAATAGACCCCCAATAGTAGGATTCCCTTATAATCGGGACCCCAGAAAGGTATCCCCCTTTTTCGGAAACCACTATATGAGGTTCATAGAGGGTCTGGATCGTTTGAACCATGGCAGCCGACGTGTTCTTTGCTATTTGACCCCTCTTGAGGGGAAGCAAAGGTAAAAGGCCCAAACCTGAACCCTGCTTAGAGGTTCATGGGTCATTGGAAGCAGGCTTCTAAGTAGGGCAACTATACTTGTAGCCTTACCTCTGGCACTTATAACCCTACTAATCGCTTCCCATGAACCTTCAAGTGCCCCACCCAACTGCTCTTCAGGGTTTAGGGAGTTCGTCTGTCTGTCTTCCTGCCCCCAGGCGCTGCAATGCAACCCTTCTTGGTGCCACTTCAAGGTGTGCACCGACATTGAAACAGGGAAGGCACATGAACGGCAGCCTCCCGATGCGTATTCCTTGCAAAGCCGCGGCTCCTACAACTAAACTTCAGCCGACTTCCGGGACAGGTTGGGATGTTCCCCCTTATACTAACTGTCCTTAATCGGGATTCATCGGGATTCTAATCGGGGGCTACTATAATCCCTATTTAAGGACTGTTAGTATAAGGGGGAACATCCCAAGGGACAGGTTCAAGGGACCCTAAACCCTGAACCCTAAACCCTAAACCCTACACCCTAAACCCTAGACCCTGAACCCTGAACCCTGAACCCTAAACCCTAAACCCTAAACCCTAAACCCTAAAAACCCCAAGGGTTCAAGGCCAAGCAGCTGGTGTGCCGTTCAATTGCAGCCATGCCTGGCTCGGAACTTCGCAAGGGGACTTCTGAGCCTCAGACCTCGGACACCTTGACAATTAGGACGTTGCGACCTGTAGCTTTTTGCCTCTTGAAGCTAGACTACTAGGCCTTAAAATCCTCATAATAAAGGGCCTGTAAAGGGATTCTAGGGTATAATAGCCCCTCCTGGTCTTTAAACCCTAAACCCTAAACCCTAAACCCTAAACCCTAAAACCTAAAAGCTGGACTTGTGGTACGGAAGCCAGGTCCCGCCTCCCACACGAGCCAGGGCGTCGAAGCCGTGCCGGAGGGAGGCGATGCCCAGGAAAGCCACGGTGCCGTCCTCTGCAGGTTGAGGGTTTAGGGTTTAGGGTTTGGGGTTTAGGGTATAGGGTTTATAGGGTTTCAAGAAGGCATTTATGACAAGTACCCCTGAACAAGGTGATGACCAGTTCTAGCAACATAGAGACCTTCAACTGACCCCAGCTATAAGTACCAATGGAACTCTAGGTTTAAGTAGGCGTTTGGTGTCTATGGTGGTTGGGATCCTGACTCGGATGCAAGGCCGGGTTTAGGCAGGTGCAGGGACACCCTAGGTGTCCCCTGGTTGTTTCTCCTGGAGTGGGGAGAAGGTTGAGGTGCTGGGACTACTGGGAACCTTCTTTGCGATTGAAATACCCTAAAGCAAGGGCTGTTGTCTGCGAGGCCCAACCTAAATCAAGAAACTGAGACTCGTGCCTATGGCTGTCCCCCTGAAGGTTCCCCTGAGTACACTGCGAATAGGATCCTTGAAACGGGTCCCCAAATCTGAGCCCTGGTCGTGTCCTCGAACCGCTCAGCGATGCGGCCCTTAAAGACCTCCCAACGCGGCTCAGGGACGGTGAAGTCAGCACACGTCCAAGCAACGTCTCAGAATCCTGTTTTTTTCTCTGGACGTTTGCAGCTCGATCGTCCTGTGGCCCTACATGTGCTCATGCCCTAGTTGGAATTGAATGAGATGACTTTGCAGAAATCGGCGCACGCTCCGAAGTTCCCCTTTCGGTTCTGGCGCCACATGCCCAAATATTTGGCAGGGTGACTCCGCGGCCGCTATGCTGGCGATGATGCAGCCAAGAGGTCAAGCGCAGATGCCATGCAACTGCCCAGTGCTGTCAAGTGTCAAGTCAAGGCCCGAAGCTTTGAAGTCGATTATTGCGGTCCTGGCTACTGCAAGCCGACATTCTGGCCACTGCTGCAACTTGTCAACTAGCTCACTCAAGGTCCAGGCCTTGTCTTTCCAGTTTTGAAGCAGGACGGCACTCAGATAGACCTCTGCAAAGACCTTGTTTGCATTGATCCCCATGTCCTTCATCATAGCACAATAAGCAATTACGATGTCCTCTAAGTCGCATATGCACCAAACAAACATGTGAAAGTGGCAATATCCGGCTCCAGCTCCAAACTCAGCAGCAGTTGAAAGAGATACTTCGCTGCATTGTGGTTGCTCCCTTGTGCTCCCCAACAAGCCCGAATGGCAGATGTCACGTGGCCGACGTCTATTTCCACATCGCTGCGGTTCATTTCATCGAGAACTTGTGCTGCCGTCTCAATATCCCCCTCTACAGCAGCAGCGGCAATGCGGGCCCCGGCCAGCGGCCCATCCAGTTCCAGTGACTTCCTTGCCTCAGACCAGATTTCTCTAACTGCACAGGGCTGTTTCAAACCAGAAAAAAACACTCATGGCTGCTGTGAAGGTAGGCGAGGTCTTGGTCACGTTCAAGCTGCAGAGCTTGTCGTAAATGCGCGCGCCATCATTCCAGATGGGCTCAAGGGCCGAGGCAGAGAATGGCTGGGAGATGTTGCTTCACATCTGCTTGAGCGCAGCAAAAATAGTTCCAACGGTGGTTGGCCAAGTAGATGTTCCGTGCGGTGGGCCACTGTTGCGCAAGGCTCGTCTTATCACTTTTCATGCAAGTCTGGGCAAGATAACAAGGTCCGGCCCCTTTGAAAACTGAAACCGAGCACCAAGAGAATAGGGACCCAAACATCGTTGGCTTCACTCAGGAACTTCAGCCTTGAACAATGAAGATACCTTACCAGCATGGGTGTGAATTGGGATCTACTATTGCGAAAACAGGGACCCTCTGCCCCTGGGACCAAAACTCCTGTATGCGGGTCCGAGGGAGCTTCATTACTCTCAGACACTCCGCTAGGATTTAGGGTTTAGGGTTTAGGGTTTAGGAATTCAGGGCTTTAGGGGAGGAGACTCGATCAGGCGATGGCTCATGAAGACTCTGGGCCTGCATCCCTGCCCACGCTCGGCAACTTTGGCTTTAGCACCCCGGTGCTTTCCACGAACCTATTCAACTGGATGAGAGGGACGACTGCCCATGCTCGAGGATACTTCTTATATTCATGCTACTGCACCCTCGAAAACTCTCCTGTCCATCCAACATCTCGACCATCCACCAAATAATTTCTAGACGCGAACCTTGGCCCCAACCAAAACGGGTCTCCAACCTTCAGGTCGTCGCTATCTGTGCGTCCAGCACCGGCGAGGGACACCGAGCCCCCTGGAGGGTAAACGGCAGCCATCCGTAGGCTTGGGGCTTAGGGTTCAGAGTTACCAGGTGCGGGATGGTTTGGGATGGCTTCTTGAAAGGCAACCAAACACTCAAAGCACACCCTTCCAAAAGTCCAGAAGCCTGCAGGGCCTAAGGGGGGAGGTGTCATACATACAATCTGCTTTTCGGATGTCGGCCACACTTTTGGCTCGAAACACTCTTCTGTCCCGGGCCTAAAGCTCTAAGAACTCGAAATACCTCCGACAGAGGGGCCCTTGAATTGCACACCAATGGCTTGCAACACAACGGCCTCCCCAGTAGTGCTTCTTGAGTTCAAAGGCAGTCTGACTCCGGATGATGAGGGCCCCAACGCCAGTCGGGTAGCCTCAGTTTAAGGCTTGAAGGGGTTTATGTAATGGTTCTGGCCGCACCCTAAACCCCTAAATCTTCGAGGCTTGGAGGTCGTTAAGGGAGAAAGAGAGAGAAAGCACTTGGAGCAAGAAAAAGTGTGCTTTTGCTTGAAAGTTTACACGGGTCTTGCAGGGTTCTATGGGTTTCTAGACTGCAAGTGTTTTCTATAAATTCAGGACTGAGAAGATTAACCCCAGGGTGTCAAACCCTAAACCCTAAACCCTAAACCCTAAACCCTAAACCCTGGGGCTTTGGGGCTCAAGCTGTGTAAGGCGCAGGCTTGACAGGCCACGCAGAGGGCTAAAAATGCAGGAGCCGGCTACCGTAGAATCCAGTTTAGGGTTTAGGGTTTAGGGTTTAGGGTTTAGGGTTTAGGGTTTAGGGTTTAGGGTTTAGGGTTTAGGGTTTAGGGTTTAGGGTTTAGGGGCAGATTCCATATGTGGCACTAAAGGTGCATACCTAACAAACTAGAACAAACCCATAGAGCCCCAGTGTCCTTCAACAAATTTAAGGGCCCAATCCCCGAACTCTAAACTCTCTACCCTAAACCCTAACCCCCAAGCAAGACCCCTTTTCGGTTCATGGTACATTCCTCAAACCCTAAGCCCGCAGCTTGAGAACTGCAAAATTAGGACACGGGGCCGAAGAGCTTGTAGAAGGAGAGCGTCACGAAGTCCGCCCGGGCCTCAAAGGAACCGGCTCGAAGAGGCTTTGATTCGGCATGAAGTATACACGCTGTGAGAACGCTTGAGCAGCACGACGAATTCAAACTTGCGTCTGGGCTTAAACCCACGCAAACGGCCCAAACCCACATCTGTAGCACCCTTAGGACATATTCTATATTTCCATTTCAATAAAACCCAAGGGAATAGTTCATTTCAAGTTTTCATGAGGTTCTAAGGGCCCTAAACCCTACCCTGCATGGCACCTCCGTCAAGTTCAAGGGATGGCTGCTGGAGAACTTGGCGGCATCGAGAAGCACGCGCCAGGTCCTGCAGGCTTTTGCTTCTGGAGGGCAACAGTCGCAGGGCTTAGGGTTCAGGGTTCAGGGTTCAGGGTTCAGGGTTTAGGGTTTAGGGTTTAGGGTTCAGGGTTGAGGGTTTAGGGTTCAGGGTTTAGGGTTTAGGATTCACGAGTACCTCATGGGGTTCGGAGATCAGGAGTCTGAGACACTTCTGGGGCTCATAGCCTTTCAGGCCACCCAGTCGCAGCGCCAAACGCCAGGCAAAGTAGGGGCGACCAACAAGGTTCAACCAACAAAAAACCTCACTCAACCCTAAAAACCCTGGACCCCACAAAACCCCTGAACCCTAAACCCTAAACCCTAAACCCTATACCCTAAACCCTAAACCCTAAACCCTAAACCCTAGTCCTCAACTGGCCCTCTCGGGACGCGATCTTGGCAGCCCAGCGCAAAGGGAAGATCTGCCCCGCAAAGTTCTCTTCCGCCGGATAGGCAAACCTGGGTTGCTTACAGCCCTTCCGCCCTTGAAGGTTTAGGGTTTAGGGGTTTAGGGGTTTAGGGGTTAGGGTTTAGGGTTTAGGGTTTAGGGTTTAGGGTTTAGGGTTTAGGGTTTAGGGTTTACGGTTCATATGGGTGTTTGTATAGGGTCGTACAAGTACACAACTATCTAACCACAACTGTAGGCACACCCGCCCTCACAGAAGAAGTAGAACTAGAGGCTTAATTAAGTCCTGAGATGCCCCGAAACCCAAATCCTAAACCCTAAATGTGTATGTATCCACGTATATATATATATATATATCATGCATGAATTACATACGTACATGTATGTGTATATATATATATATATACATGAACGTAACAGACATATCTACACACATAACTATAAACCCGAATTCACCCCGAACTTTGAATCCCGGAACCCCTAAACCCTAAACCCTATAAGCCCCGAAAGTTGAGCCCCGGAACCACCAACCCTTAATCCTAAACCCTAAACCCTAAACCCATAAACCCTAAACCCTATAATCCCGAGCGAAGAGCAGAGACAGCGGGCCATCCCGGTCTTCGTCCGGCTGAGAAGCCAACCTCGGCAAACGAGCAGCTGAGGGCTTGGGGTCAGGGTTTAGGGCTTAGGAGGTTTAGGGAGGTTTAGGGAGGTTAGGGAGTTTAGGGAGTTTAGGGGGTTTAGGGGGTTTAGGGGGTTTAGGGGGTTTAGGGGGTTTAGGGGGTTTAGGGGGTTTAGGGGGTTTAGGGTTTACGGTCTTATAGGGCTTGAGGCTGAGGATTGAGGGGGCGCAGAGGCCAGAGTAGCGTATGCAGGGCGACGGAGGACTTTTGCGAAGCTCTCAGGACGAGGCAACAAAGCAAAACCCCGAAGCCCTCAATGCCGAAGAGCCTGCTTGAAGGTTTAGGGTTTGGGGTTTAGGGTTTAGGATTTGGGGTTTAGGGTTTGGGGTTTAGGGTTTTGGATTAAAGGTTCAGGGTTTAGGGCCACTTGGAGCTTCAAGTGTAGCTATAAGGGTTGCAAGTACCCTAAATAAGGTAAAAGTGTAGTTGCCCTACTTCTAACCCCCACTTATGGCTACCCACGAACCACCAAGTAAACCCTCAAACCCCAAAGCCCAACACGATTCGCAACCTTCAAACCCAGCACCCAACACATCTTCGCTTCTGGAACTGCTAGGAAGATTCCCACAAAGTTTAGGGTTTAGGGTTTAGGGTTTAGAAGTTGGGATGTTGCCCCATTATACTACCAGTCCTAAATGGGGAATTATAATCGGTGGTACTATAACCCCCTATCAAGGAGCTGTTAGTATAAGGGGGAACATCCCAATTAGGAAGCCTAAAGCTTCAGCTTCCTAAACTAGTAGGCTAAGCAACGTCTACATCGAATCCTAAGTTAAGGGCTCCCAGAGCCCACGGAAGTTAGTGTAGACTTTAGGTTCCGACTTACGCAATAAGTGCATGCTCCTACCCCTAAACCCTAAACCCTAAACCCTAAACCCTAAACCCCAAACCCTAAACCTCTCTGAATGTCCAACATCTCGAGCCTGAAAGAGCTGACCGTCAAGCTGGGATCCGGGCTCGTCCAGCCAGTCATCGACGTCCTTGCTCAGAGGTTGGGGTTTAGGGTTTAGGGTTTAGGGTTTTGGGTTTAGGGCTTAGGGCTTAGGGTTTAGGGTTTAGCGTTTAGGGTTTAGGGTGTTGTGGATGGTATGGTATCCCCCCAAGCGCTGCCTTCCAGGCAGACAAAGTGAAACCATAAACTTAAACATTCAACCCCCATGAGCCCACACCCTTCATAAACACTAACCCCTTACCCCTGTACGCGTGGATAAATCGGCCCTAACCCCATAAGCCCTGCAAACCCACCCCGAATACCCCAAACCCCTGAGACCTATACAATCGAAATCTAAAAACCTGCACTCAAAACCCCCCCCCCCCCTACCAGAATCCAAACCCAAAGTCTAAAGCAACTTTCTACCCAAATCCCAAAAACCCGCAGGGGTGGAAGCGGGGTACCCCACACCCCATACCACAGGGGAGGGGGGGTGGGGCTAACTGTTGGTAGAGAAGTACCTTACGCTAAGGGTATGGGTAGTATAGACTGCACTAGGTACACCCCAAACTAACCGTAAACCTGAACCTTAAACCCTAAACCCTAAACCCTAAACCCTAAACCCTAAACCCTAAACCCTAAACCCTAAACCGCAGATGGAGGGCCGCAGGTTCCCAGCTGGCCTCGTGCCACGCCACGCTGATGGATGCGTTGACGTCCCGAGCGACATCACGGATGCCCAGCACGGAGTTGTGGTTCCTAATCACGGTTCAAGGGTGGTGGTTTTAAACTATTGTTTGCTTAAGAGCCCCAAAAGAATAAAAGATAATAATCCCTATACTACCCTTAAGAAGGAAGAATACATATATAATCACGGTTCAGGGGTCAGGGTTTAGGTTTAGTTTCCGTGTATAGGATGAGGATGGCAAATGCAGCATAGATTGTCAGGATTTGTTTACTGTGTGGTGCTTTAAAGCCCTTTTGAAAAAAATCTTATCAGGAAACTAAAACTTATGCAGCACTACCCAGTTTATGGTCCGTGGCTTCCAAATATCTCAACGACTTGACTCTTGGTGCTTCAAGATCCAAGGAAGGATCCAGGCTCAACTGCGCGTAATATGAGCTCATGGGCTCCTTTTTAAGAGGACCCTCAGCTCCGAAACACCATCTTTCACAGCTTTAGAGCACAAGGGAGGCAGAAACTGAGACCGATCTTGGGTCCATCCAGTGAAATTAAGACAGTTCAAACCTTACTTGCGAATGGGGGGGGGGGGGCACCCTGAGTTAGTGGTCGTTTCGGGTGAAACCTTACTTCCTCGCACTGCGGCCTTCACCCTGAAAAACCTAGCTTAGCCGACCCCCGCTCGACCTCAAACCATCTACTTGGAATTTCATGGGTAGTTCTTAGTAGGGTTACAAGTACCATAAATAACGTTATGACCAGGCCCTACTGATAACCCACTTATAACTACCCAAGTATCCAGGGGGTGCTGTCTTGCGGCCACGTCAATGGATCACCAAACCCCAAAAAAATCACCAAAGTTACAGAAGCCGACGAATTTGAGGTCCATATCATAAGGGGATCATACTATTTGGGGTCTATATGAAGGGTCCCTTAATATCGTACACCCCCATTTAGTCAGAAGTCTTCTCCCAGAGTGTCGATTGGGCTAGGGTTCAGGATTCGAGGTTTCGGGAAGGGGGGTCGCAGCTGAAACGCGGACGAATGGCCCTACCCCCTCAGAACTCTGTACAAGCCCTTGCGGCTTCTTTTAGGGCTCAGGGCTAGGGTTCCGGGAAACTCTGGCCCTGAATCCTAACACGATTCTTGGAGCCTCGAACATGCATTGCCTGGTTCTCAAAAGGGAACGAGGAACCTAGGGTCCCTTTGAACTATACTCCCCTTAGAACCTTCGTAAAAATAACATTTTTGATATCCCCTTGGGTTTTGCATAAACAGAAACAAGAAATAACTCCCAAGGGGCACATAGTGAAGGGATTGCTTGGGGGAGGTTGGGGTTGAGTTCTTCCATACCCATTACTAAGAAGCAGCTAGACCCTAAACTCAGGTTTCAAGGGGCTCAAGTTGTAGGATTTTAGGTTTATCGAGGGTTTTAAGATCATAGGGTTTTAGGGTTGTAGGGTGTTAGGGTTTTAGGTTCAAGGCTCACCCGGCAAAGCCGGGTCTGTCACTCTGTCACATCCAGGTGGCTGCAAGAGGTAGCGATATTGCGAGCCCTTACGCCAAGGGAACCTGGAGGCAACGGCTTGGGGGTAAACGGGACATCTTTTGCGGCTTGCTGGGCATAAGCCTTGAACCTTAAACCCTAAAACCCATATAAACCCTTTAACCCTAGAACTCTAAACCCTATAACCTTAACCCCTGATATCCCTAAGGCCCCTTTGGTGTAAATTGAAGGGGTATGGGGCCTTAGGATTCTTAATAGGAGGTGAGGCTCCACGGTTCAGAAGGGCTTTTGAAGTCAGACCTGACAAGTGAGCAGGCCAGCTTAGGGTTTGCAGGGTTTAGGGGTTCGGAGTTTTGGGGGGTTTAGCCTTAAGGAAGGGGACGGAACTGATTGCCTTTCCGGCACGGGTTTCTAGCGTGCTGACCGCAGACTGACTTTCTTGTTGGAGGAAGTACATGGGACTCCATATATATATATATATATATATATAGGTATACATATATATATATATATATGTATATCACCCACACACATATGTATGTATATATATATATACATATGTATATATATATATATATGTATGGTACCCCCCCGATCTACCGTTTCCCACCTTTTTTCAACAATGAAACAAAATCCGTCTGCTTCATAGTGAATTTTCGCAATGCAATAGAATCCGTCTGCCTCACAATCCATTCAGAACTCTCTTCAAAGATTTCGAAAGCCGGCCGTTTCAATTGAAACTTCTCCGTTTCAATCGAAACGGCCGGGATCCAAGATCCAAGATCCAAGATTTCCCAGGACTCTTGCCGAGGCATCTTGGAATCCTAGATCTCGAAAACCGGCCGTTTCAATTGAAACGTTTCCGTTTCAATTGAAACGGCCGGGATCCAAGATCCAAGATCCAAGATTTCCCAGGACTCTTGCCGAGGCATCTTGGAATCCCATATCTTGGATTCTGCCCGTTTCAATTGACATGTTTCCCATTAGAACCTGAGCCGGCAATTAAAACTAAACCCTTAACCTTTAAACCCTAAAGGGTTAAGGTGTTAAGGTTTAGGGTTTACGATTTAGGCATTCAAACTTGAGCCGGTAGTTCAGCCTAAACTCTCGACCTTTAAACCCTATAGGGTTAAGGTTTCAAGGCTTAGGGCTCAAGATTTATTCATTTAAAGCTAAGCCCATAGAGTTTAAACCTCAAGGGTTTAAGGTTTATAGGTATGAAAACATGAACTCTAAACCCTCCAGGGGTCTAAAAGGTTCAAGGGTGTTCAGCCCACAGGCGCTGAAGGTATAAATGCCCAGACCTTGGGTACATCAGGTTTAGGCATTGAAACCTTGAAGCCCTATAAGGGTTTTTACAGGTTTAAGGTCTGGGGATTGAAACCTAGGTTTGGGCATTCAAGCTGGTTTAAGCCTTAATCCCTGTAGGGCTAGGTATTTAAACCGAATAGCTTACCTTGAAACGCTATAGGTTTAAAGGTTGAGGTTCAAAACCTTTAAGCCTCTGGGGTTTAAAGGTTTAGGTTTTTGCAGAGTTTGTCTACCCTATTCGGGGTAGCCCTATAGGGTTTTAACCCTATAGGGGTTCAAGGTTCAGGGTTTAAGAGGGCATTGCAACAACCCAACCCTAAACCCTCAGGGATTGAACCCCTTTACTGTTATCCTTAAGTCTTAAAGCATATAGGGTTTAGGGTTATAACGCTGAAGAACACTCAGGGATTTAACCCCTTTACTGCTTTCCTTAAGGCTGAAAGCATAAACGGTTTAGGGTTACAACGCTGAAGAACCCTCAGGGGTTTAACCCCTTTACTGTTTTCCTTAAGCCTTAAGGCATATAGGGTGTAGGGTTATCACGCTGAAGGTATAAATGCCCAGACCTTCGGTACATCAGGCTTAGGCATCAAAACCTTTAAGCCCTACAAGGTTGTTAAAGGTTTAAGGTGAAGCCTTAAACCCTATAGGGCCCTATAGGGTTACGGGGTTTATCAACCCTAAACGCTATGAGGGGTTAAAGGTTTAGGGTTGCATTGCAAAAACATAACCCTAAACCCTCAGGGATTTAACCACTTTACTGTTTTCCTTAAGCCTTCAGGCATATAGAGTTTAGGGTTATGCTAAAATCTATAGGATTAGTACCTTATACCCCTATATATTGTAGGCCTTTAGGCCTATATCCTAACCGTAAATCCCATAGAGTTCTGCCTATGTTTGTAGGCCTCGCCTCCTGTGGAAATGCAAAGGAAAAGTAGAATAAGTACACATTGCATGTATGTATAGGGTATATGTATTGCATATCAAATACAGATAATGGAGATCCTCGAAGCATAAGACTAGGAAGTATTCGAGCGCAAAAGGTGATGCGGAAAAATCATGTACTGTAAGCCCCGGGGACGCGAGAATACTATGAGCAAAGACCTTTTCACTATTTCCCTCTTAATTGCCGGTTCGGTGTCTTGGGTTGGTGCAGGATCGGTTAGCTATTGTTACGAGGGACTAGATCGGAAGGGATTCTGGATAGTAAAAGCATTAAAAAAGGGTAGATCTCTGGGGGGGGGAAGCATATATATATATATATATACATACATACATGCCTCCGTATTTGTATACTTTTTACTCTATATATATATACATACATACATACATACATACATACATACATACATACATACATACATACATACATACATACATACATACATACATATAATATTTAACACACACACACACCCTAATTCCCCACTAAGAACTTGTAGTGCTGCTCTGCCACATGTCTGCCACCAGCCGGAGGGAGTCCGTGCAGGAGCGCGTGAAGACCTGGGCCGGGAACAGAAGCCAAAACCTTTGAACCCTAAACTAGTTCAGGGTCGGGATAGTATTAAACATGTAAGTTTCTATTCCTTATTGAGTTTAAGTATGGTACCCCCCCCACTATGACAAAGCCAGCTGTGAGAATTAGGTAGCTTATGTATCCCGCCCTGTATGGGTTCTATCAGGTACCTTATTCCCTCATCCCCTACGAACCAGGAAGTCTCAAGAATACACCCTTAAACCCTAAACCCTCGACCAAGATGGCACAGAGACATCATCCTCAACCCTCCAAGCCCTCGAAGCCCTCCAAGCCCTATACTCTAAACCCTAAACCCTAAACCCTAAACCCTGAAAGTCCTACAAACCCTGAACCCTGAGGTGCTGTTTTTCGCTTCAGGGAGCCCAAAAAAACGACCCGTAGCTGCGGCATAGTTCTCTAGACATCCCTGAGGGTCCTCTCCTGGATTAGGGTTTAGGGTTTAGGGTTAAGGGTTTAGAGTATAGGGCTTGGAGGGCTTCGAGGGCTTGGAGGGTTGAGGATGATGTCTCTGTGCCATCGGATCTTGCCTTACCGCCAGGCGGCCACCTCATATTCCGAGGGGGATGCAGAGAGGAACTCCAGTACCTTCCGACATGAGCAGCCGGGGCAAATCTTTCGAACTGCTTACATGCATGCCGCGGAGGCACAACCAAACATACCTAATTAAAATAATAAGAAGATGAAGCCCCAATCCTGAGCCCTTGAATCCTAGATTGCGCAGTCCGCCCCCAAAAAAGCAAGAGAACGAAGCCCCAGGCAGCTCTTGTTGGATGCTTCGCGAGCTTCACACGAGCCCTAAGTCTTAAACCCTAAGCCTTAACCCCTAAACCAACAACCAAAAACCCTAAACCCTGAACCCCCAAACAACCTTAAGCCCTAAAGCAGCACTGACTCAGCAATCCTTAAAACCCTAAGACATCCATAGCCCACTTAGGAGCTCCCAAACCCTGAAAAGCCCCCAAACCCTAAGCCTAGCATCTCCTAAACACTCCCCCACTCTCTCACGAGAAATCCCCCAGAGCTTCCTGGCAAACTAAAGAATTCCCAACCTCGCACTTCTACTTGTCCAATTTCTTATATCAAGCTGGGAAGGCACAAGTTTTGGTTGCTTCAGGGGTGCCATCTGATAAC